TGTGGGCTTGAAATATATTTCAATAAAGTGTGTCTATATTATATGTTTGTAATTACACAACAACAGTTTGTGACTGAATAAGTATAATGTACTAAAATAATAACATTGTCTAAAACTCTATTGCAAGGTCCTTTTATGTAATTTAATTTAATTTCAGACTCTTATCACAATACACGCGAAACAATGATATTGATTAGGTATATTGGTGGAGTTCGGTCAGTCTTGTAAAGTATTCGAATACTATTTTAAATACTTTTTTAGTATTCAAATACGTATTCTGAATCCTTTTATTTGTATTTTTTATTCATTAAAAAAATACTTTTTTCCGATCCAGAAAAATATATAGTTTTATCATGAAAATCATAATCATTAATTTTATTCTTTGAACGAAATATAATATTGGCCCATGATATGATTATTTTTATAAGCACCAATATGTTGTATACCGTATGACCCGTATCGGCCTTATCATTGTGGTCAAAATGTATAAATAACTTATTATTAAAATGTATTTTTAATTATTAATTAATAAATGTTAATTACCAACCATTTAAAAACTGACAAAAACTAGTTGTGAAAAAAATTATTCTAATAGTATTCGAATACTTTTTAAAGTATTCGAATATGTATTCAGGATATATTTTTTAAGAACTATTCGAATACGTATTCTGAATACCTTAGTGCTAAGTTCTCATTTATTTGAATATGTACTCCGAATACAAAATAAAAGTATTCTTTACAAGACTGAGTATGAAAGTAAATAGCTATAATATAATAATAATATTATACATTTTGTTACTATATAGAGTGAGCCAAGGGATGACATAGGTACCTATAAATGATCTATAATATTAAATTAACCTAAACGCCAATCGACCATGTAAAATACCATAGATTTTAATTCCTTCTGTTTCACTGCATAAAATCTTATTATTTTTTTTTTGTAATTTATTATTAATTTTATCTTAAATAGTTTAATGAAAAGAACAATGCATCCCTAACCTATGCCCACTCACAGTGCCCATCCTAATCGCCAATACATAAACGAGTATACAACGGCGCTGGGCGTGCCTACAATATGTGTATATCCGTTATATTCTTGTATTTTATCTTACAACCAGAGTTGAGCATTTTCAATTTTTATAATGTATTTCAAATGAATTTTTAATACACAAAATACCATTTTGGATTGGCTTTTAAATAACTTAGTTTGAGTTTTAATATATTATAATAAAAGTTACCTACAGGGTATTTTTTAAATATTGAACCAAAAAGTTATAATGTTGTTATATGCCGACCAATAATTGTTTTTAAATTAAAGCAACAATAATTTATATTTTCATGTTGAACGATTATTCTTCCACATATTCATCTCTTTAAATATGATTAAATTCAATACAATAGCTATTACAAACCAATTTGCTGTATTAGTTTCATGAATCAATGTAAGAAACAATTGTCACTGATTTTTTTTTTTTAACCAGTTGGTTTCTATTTTATTTCATAATTTTATATTTTGAATACATAGCTCAGATTTCCATTTAACATGAAGTATTTTGAATGTTACTTTAATTACATATTTACATCATCTCGTAGAAAACACAGCCGAACGTAATTTATAGTTGGACAAATGAGAGTTGAGAAACGGTGGAAACTTTAAAGTATCTTAGAGTTGGACTGGATAAACCAATGGAGTACAGGCGGAAGTTCAAAGAAGATTAGGATCAGTAAATAGACGTAATGTTGAGAGTTTGTGACCATATTTAATTCAAAGACAACAATGTATAGAAAATCGTCGTTACTGCACCAATTGCACCATAATAGATATTCATATGCCTGTTTCCATGAAAGCCGAAGAAAAATGTAAAAAAGTAAAGAAGTGGTATTTGAGAGAAAAATAGCACTACAAATGTTTGGACTCAAAAAGAACATAGAAACGGTGGACGGTGAAGGCAGACCTAATGATGACTTCGATATTCTATTAAATCAACATTCAACAGGATATCGGTAGGTATTAGAAATACCGAAGATCGCTAGATGTGCCGAATTGCAGACATTATCAGTGTTGGATTGTAACGTAACGAAAGTAACGCGTTACTTTGTTTCTAACGCGTTACGTAATTTTATTAGAATTATTTCCAAGTAACGAAAATGTATTGGAAATTACTTTTTGAAAAGTAATTTCTATAAAATAACCAGTTACAGTCTCGAATTATTAAGTACCTACCTACCTATTGCGAATTGAAAAAAAAATATATGTATAAAGCTGGTATTATTATGTTACGAATTTAATATTAACTCGCCACAATTCGTTTTTCAATGGTTCTGACATTTGAAATGTCCAATTGCACCTGAATCACGAGAACAGTTAATTAAATTTATTATTTAATTTGATTTGTAGAAGAATATATTATTTAAAAACAAAAAATAAATCATCAACGAAATATTCGGTACCTACGTAGGATTTAACATCATCATGAACCTAGATTATACGAGTTCGTTATCGCTTTCAAATTATACAAACAGTACCTTCTTCGGCATTAGCATTAGGTACCAGTGAATAGTCCACAGGGAAATAAACCACAACTCTTTTCTTTATTTAACGAATAACCAACTCCGCGAGTGCTATTAAAACTTCTTGAATGTATATACCGAGATAACAATGGATATTATTATATTATTATACGCTTAACGAATTCACTAAACTCTTTTGAAAGTTAATTTAAATGTTTATTTTTATTATTTTTTTTTTTGCGATTGGTCGGATGTCCTTTGTTTTTCATAATATTTTTGCATGCGTATATATAATAATATTTGAACCATTGAACGTACAGCTTTTATTTATTGAATGCGCTCCTAAAACCTTAAAACATATTTCATATTATTTACCTAATAATCAGGGCTCGGAAGTTGTGGCACTAAAAATGGTAATTTTTAGCTCCTTAATAAGCACTAAAAAACTCTAAAATATGCGCTATAAATAGCACGAAAAATCAAAAAATATGCATTTAACTTGAAAAAATTATAATTATAAATGTATTACAAAAAAAAAAATTAAATGTTATAATTTTATTAATTATTATTCATTACAAAAAAAAAATTAAACGTTATTATTTATTAATAATTAGTAATTACATTTGCCAATTTCTATACTGTTATATAATTATAAAAAATATAACCAAATAAAATTTAAAAATATAACCAAATAAAATCATTATTTTCAACTAAATGTGGTTATTTTCCAAATTATCTGATAATATACCCAAAAATAGCACTAAAAACCTTAAAATGGCAAAATAGCAATAAAAATCATAAATATGCAAAAAATGGCAAAATAAAATTTCGTGTATGACATCAGATAAGTGTGAAACATATTTGTATCTTACTTTGGGTGTTCTAGGACAAACCAAAAAAAATATGCATTTGCCACAACTTCCGAGCCCTGCTAATAATCATTCGATTTCGAAAATGTAGCTTAGCTAAATAAGTCTGTTTAGAAAATACATCTACATCGTGATATCGTGGTATTAAAAAATGAAAATAAGCTATATAATATTATATAATATGAAGATACGCGTTTTGATTTTTTATGTATTGTACAACCATAACTTACCATTTTTCATTTAATTTTTGATGCATTTTAAACAATACATAATATTATAATATAATATACTATGCTCTCTTGATACGATTAAATCATAATACTATAACATAGTAAAATTATATTACATTGTACAGTTTTCCCATGCGTTATATACAAGACGTGTACAAGTCATTTCAGCTGAGAAAAAAAATATATACGGCACTATAACGATATATTATTATTATTATGTAATAATCAACACTAAAAATGACAGTTTTTTCGTATTGTCTTAGAATAGATATTTTACTGAAATCCAATACAATATTTTATTTCTACTATAACATTATACACGTGTATATATAATATTTTCCATTTCATATTATATTATAATATAGTGTTCCGGACTTATCGATTTCCATAATATGACTTTTTTTTCCCCCGACAAAGTACGAGTACCTATAGTAGTTACCTACCTACATAATAATATAGGTAAGTTTACTTCCCTTTCGTAGACATTGCACGTAGACGGGAATTAAATTTAGAATAACTAAAATATAGGTGACTCGCAAACTACGTACCTAAAGAGGTACCCATCTACCGAAATTCAACGATGAAATGAAAATGTGACCGTATAACCTAAATAACCACAACATCGTAATATTATTTTGTCGTAAATTATGTTTGAATTGTATTTGAAACGATTTTAGGACTATTGAAAAATACGTCACGGGTTCACAAATGTTGAAAAAAGAACGTTTTAGTTGATTAATATAAAAATAAGTGTACTTCGGTTGTAGGTATATACGTAGCGATGAAATCTAATTATACGGTATTGAGTTAGAATGAACATTTTAGTCATAAATTTAACCTTTTAACGAAACCTTTTTTTATGCAAATTATAAACTGAAAAAAAACAAATATTTAAAAATAGTATTTAGGTATATACTTAAACGTTTAAATATTTTATGGACTCCAAACATTTGTCTTACAAGAACAAACATCGTAAACAAAAGACAAAAATTATTAAAACTTTTAAGGTGCATATTAAACTAAGAATTTAATCTTTCAAAAAGGTATATGAGTAATGTGTATTGTATAAAACATTTGGTTCCGATGAGCCGTTAAATTCATACGAAATTAAATAAATATTTTAAAGAACCGTGTATACCAGCTATATAATATATAAATTTCGGATCATCCTGATTGTCTCACTGTTTGTGTGCAATAATGAAGTTTAAATATGAAAAACTTCTTATTAAACATTCTTATTAATGTTCTTATTTAACCACAATAGAAAATATAATATAAAGAAGAAAATATTTTCAATATTCATCCGAAGTTTTTATATTTATCAAACACTGAATATTATGATATTATTAATGTACCTACTATGTGAATATTTTTCTTGGTTTTCCAGGCCAAGTTGGAAACTAAAGCACTGAAAGCGAAACGTCCCGGATTTACCGACGAAAGATACAACGAGACGTCGTACTATATTGAAAACGGTAAATATATACAAAATAATAATAATATACAGAATGATGCACCGGATATGGCAACCATATTTTTCCTTTAAAAATAAAAGTACCTATTCAAAATCTTATTTCTTTTTGTAATTGTTTAACTACTTAAAACCCATATTTTCAAATGTTTAAATTTTGTATGCAACGTAAGGTGTATCTATTGTGGCAATATATGCAAACGTCAATTTTGAAAAAATCTACTATTTAACAATTCACAGTAAAAAAAGGAGTGTTTGAAAATATTAATTTTGTATGGCCACACTCTTTAGTAGGTGAATATGGTAGTAAATCTAAGTGTCTGAAAATATGGTCCAAAGTATACTAAAAAAATAAATTATATTACTTAAATCATAATATTCGTGCCGCAGCTGTTGAAAAGTCCAAATGGATCGAGGAAACGCATGTGTACTCACATTATTTCGCTCTCTTTTAGGTTTGAGAAAAGTTTACCCATACTATTTTACATTCACTACGTTCACCAAGGGCAGATGGGTAAATCAAAATATACTGGACGTGTTCGCCAGGGAGTTCAGAGCGCATCCAGCTGAAGAATACGTGAGTACCTACTTATTATATTATATTTACCATCGTGGCGAACTTGACATTTTTCAAAGGCTACTTCCTATTCTACATTTTTTTCCACTTTTCAGTACTATAACTCGATAAAGGCGCCATCATAAATGTAATTACCTGTAATAGTAAATTAAATATAGTTAATACTAAATTATCATTAATCACCTATTGACCATCATTACTAATTCATCACTCCTTGAAAAACTAAGGGGCGGCCGCCTCTCGATTACCTCCTTAACCAACGCCACTGTTTACCATCACCCATTGCATTTACTGCACATTTTACAGTAAATTGTTTTTCGTGAAAGTTATTAAGATGTACATTTCGGGTACCTGACAATCAATTAATTTTTCAACTGTTAAATTAAAAAAAAAAACCTTAAGAAACTAATTGTTGCCATAATTGCCTTCACTCAATCGGGCCCATCGCAAATCGAATATGTTTAATCTGTAAAATCAATTATAAATCGAAATACAATGCTTAATAATCAAATATGCCGTTTGAATGGAAATTTATGAAGAAACCTGTTATACGGATATAAATTATAAAAAACTCTCATACATCTTCCATAATTTATAATAAAAAACATAACAATATAGGTATAACATAGCACCCATTTCCGTGACAATTATTGATAATGTTTTGATGTCGTCAAATGTAATCAATAATCATAGAAAACACAATTTAATTGTATAATATAATTTATGTGTTATAATAATAATATGTTATGTAAAAACAATAATTGTAATAAAATATAATTTCCGAAATGGTGTATCCTTTTATACTTGGGTATTCAACCATTTCACTGGTTTTGAAAATAGGCGCTAGGATTATTCTTCGATATAAAAAAAAAAACCTAAACTAATTTGTTTTATTTTCTTCACCAAAATGTAAGGGACTTGCATGATATTACCTATTATATACCCGCACGCATAAAACGTAATCGGTACCCAATTTATTATTGTTGTTATTAACGTTATAATATTGATTTTTTTTTCATTCGCAGGAACGTTGCATTAAATCCGGTTCGTTGACCGTAAATTATCAAAAAGTGGACACTCAATACAAGTTGAAACACAATGATCTGCTGGCTAACGTGGTACACAGGTATGTAACATTTTGTTTTACATCCTTCAGAGTGCTTATGACATTTATCAGTACCCTAAATAACGGCTTTGTTGATGAATAATAATAATATTTATATACACAGAGATTCACCAAGCAAGCTTGTATTCTTTTTTTCATGAACTAAGAATGTATTCAAATTCCGATTTTTGGCTTCTTAGTTATACTTGAGGACCGTAATTTCAATTGTTTAGTTTTTAACACCGTTTTTGAAGGGTCTTGTGAAGAAAAAAACTTCTTTTTTTCAAATGAAAGCCAACATGTAATGGTAAATCTTTAAGGAGATCATTTTTTTAAAAAAGTTGTGTTTAAATAAAATAGTTAATAAACTACTAGTTTGAATTTCAATTCAGATATTTTATAATTTTCAAAAAAAAGCATGGGCTTAAAAATTGACAGAGAAATAGGGCAATGTCGTTTGAAAAAAAAATAGTTGACCTTGGGCATTGCTTATATTATATGGAATACCCGAGATCTGAGTATTTCAAAATATGATCCTTAATTATACTCAGAAGTTCAAAAAATCATAATTTGAATACATTCATAATAATTAATGAAAAAAGGGAGACGACAATATCAAATGTTAAAGGAAACAACTAGAGTAAGCAATGAGCTTGTTTGGTAAATCACTCTGTACACACGTAGCCTTTTGGAAAAGACGAATCCACCACGAAAATCTATACCTATACCGGCACAGTCTTTAAATTGTTTATATTATATTATTATGATACTGCTTAACCAGAAAATGGGCTGACATCAAAAATGACACAACAAAAAGGATCCCACTGACTTTATACAGTGCGTGCACAATGTCTAATAATTAACGTTCCTATGTAGGTCCGGTATCTAAAAGCGGAAATTTTATGTAATGTTGAAATTATATTATGATATTCCGAAAGGTTTGTTCCTTTTTTTGACCATTATGCGCTGCTTTGTGGGAGGCAAACGAATGACGTGTTCATAGCTATTAGAGTTTTCAAATACAGAAACCGTCTCTTAAGGTGTATATAATATTATTGTGTAGGTATCTGTGTGTTTTACCTTAACGACATTCCCAAGTCTTTTTAATTAGTACAAAAATCAAGTGTACCAAACACAGCTGTACATAATATAGCATTTATAGGTTTACATTTGTTTTTTAATAGCCTCGTCACTACAATAAAAAAATCCTTCTATTTTCGTAAGTAGTTAGATAAAATAACAAATTACCAACTTAAATTACTTATTATATAATAATTTAAAGTATTAAAATTAAATTTAAGAAATGTATATATACAGTCAAAAGTATTATCTGTTTAATAATTTATTATCACATAATGTACTGTCAATATTTTATATCTGTGCTCATTAAACTATTGTTTTTTCCTTGGCCTCGTTTAGAAAGTGGCCTCTATACCCACCCACCAACATAGTACCTTGACTGTCGAGCATTTCGTATTTCCCAGAAGTTGTTATCACAAGGATTGTTCAAATGTCCACATAATATCCTTATGATCATATTCACAGGGTATATTTTTTTAATTACAATTTTATATTATAAGTGCCCTTACACGACGTACTATTATAGAGAATATTGACGTTTTTTTTTTTTTGTTTTCGTTAGACAACCGAGGTTATATCTATATTGACCTAACCTATCCAACGCATTTAAATCAGAGCACTGAACGAGGACTTTATCGACTTTCACCCAGGGCGAACGTTGTACAATAACGTTAGACATGACAAAAAATCGATTGCATTAATTTAAAGTAATTTAAATGGAAAACGATGATAAGATAACGAAAAACAAAACATAATTTTTATGATATAATATCATTAAACAAAAAATGACGCAAGGTGAAATAATTACAGCAATTTTATATTTTTGTACCATAAAAATAAAATATTATTTTTCCATTTATATATTGGTTTGCGGCAATACTTTTCAACGTAAATAATTTTTATATTAGAAGAATCTGAGCACTTTAATATACCGCGCGTATGCCATACCTAAGGCATTACCAATTAAATATTGTAGTTGATATGAGTATTAAGCCATTTAGAAAAAAAATACAATTTTAAAATGCCCATTATAACTTGGTTAAAAATTAAAACATAAAAAAATTAATTTAAGTTGCTCTACATTTTTTTATTCTCTGAATTAGAATAAACGTCAATTCACTCTAATATGAAAAATAACAGATTTTTCTGCACTCTCAATTTGCTATGTTATAAGTTTGTAAGACACTGAGACGTAGACATTAGCCCTTGGGTATGACGTACATTAAATGTTAAAAATTCAAAAAGTCTTATTTCTAAATAACGATCAATGCAAAATTTCCATAAAGTTTTAATTCTAAATATCGAAAAATACGAAATCCTTATAATGTTTTAATTTAAATAAGTAATAGAATAATGTAAAACTAAATATTTTTATTAAAATCTAGCCCTGCTTTTAACAACAATCGCTGTATTATTCCATTATAAAAAAAAGTTTGACATATAAATAAATATACAAAATTAAATTAAAAATAAAATACGATATAATATGTTTATATCAAAAGTTTGTATACGTTATTATAAGACAGTAGGCGGTACTTGTCGATGTGTTTGAAATACCGTCCAATATTGTTGAAAATGTATATTCGTTTTAAATCAATGCTGTTGAGTAGTGCTTATATTGTGGGTGGACGTCATCCCTCTTCTTTTAAAAAATTTTTTTATGAGTTAGGGGTAGTACACGTAATTATATCCTAATCGATAGGACTTTTAAATATTAAGGTCGCCACATATTTTTTACTCTTTTTCATACTCCTTCTGGTTGTTTTTCGATTCTATCACTGCTAGTCCGTTAAACGGCTTTCAAAGACTCAAGCCAGGGACGGATCCAGGGGGGGCATTGTCGCTTTCTTTATTAAATAATCAATAATTTATTTATCACATTGATTACCTATACCTACTATTATGACAACATTTTTAGTAAAGTATAATATTTTATTAAAATTGTCTTTGGGTTGTAAACAAATTGTTGCCCCCCCCCCAGATCTTTGCTCTAGATCCGTGCTTGACTCAAGCTTGAGTAAAATGTTTCACGTTGGACACAAAATTACGTCGTCTTGTATTCGTCGCTTCAGTTGCACGTCATATTTTGTTATGTGGATATTTTATTCGTTTTTAAATCATTTCATATTGTCGCCCGGCGTATCTTGAAGTTTGATAGTTGTTGACGTTTATAATACATACATAAATGAAAAAAAAATGCAGCCCTCGTGTTCAAAAGTAACGACCGAGTCCGCCTGCATTTATCCGATACGGCAGAGTGCATGAGTGTACTCAAACACATTCGTTTGAGTATTGTTTCTGACGCTCTCTAAACTTGACACACCAACTGCGATCTTGATTACAACGGCAATTTTTTTTTATTTTACAAGCGTCATATACAAGTTTTAAGCACGTGTTAAAATTGTTCTAAAAAAAAAAAATCTTCCAATTATTATTGTTGTAAGATTACCTTTAGAAAATTAAATTTGCTCAGGTCTTGCTTGAAAATATTATACCCATATAGAACATATTATTATAATAGGTACAGAGTGTTTCACCACGCTTTTTTTCATCAGTACCTTTTTTCACTGTTTTTAACGTTTTCTAAAATATATGATTATACATAATCATTATACCTACTTTATTATTAAAAATGATTGTTAAAATATCTACATTGTTTCTCTCTCCCAAACACGGGAATGACAGATACTAAAACCGTTATAACCACGTGCTGTACCTATTAATATTTATATGATTATAATATAATCTTATAATAATATAGGAGTTAGTTTATATAAATATTTTAAAAGTTTAATATTACTGGTTTTTATTATGTCGCGGGTACCATTGAAACGAGTAGGCCGTAGGCTTGGATATACGAGAAAAGAAATTCCGAGGAAAAACTCGATGAAACACCCTTATAATATTATATAATATGTACCTACGTCCTACATATAAAGTTTAATAAAAAATAAAAAATCACACACACACAACACCTTCAAACGGATACTTAAAAATTACAATAAAAAAAAAATAGCACACAGAACAATAATAATGTTTTGTCGGTCGGCGCATGCGCACGATTTGAGATCCCCCATTTCGATTGTCGCACGGTACGAACCACAAACGTGGTTGTCGGACGACGATCTCGCTTCGTTGACATATTTGTCAACAGAAAAAAGAGAGGAGGAAAAAATGCACGTATTCAAATATTGAAATTTTTACTACTTGCAATAAAATAAGTAATTCTTGGATTTCAAGAGTTTTCAACTCGTTATTCACACACTTATTTCGATGTTTATTCATTTATTTTCTCTTTAATAACTAATCTATTCAAATTTTGATTTTGGGAACTTTTTACTCGAGGTCCATATATTAAAATACTTGGATTCGTTAAACCGTTTGAGGAGTGTTCAGTGGAGATCCCAACTTCTTTAAAATCTACCCATTTTTCTATATAAACTGTTAATCAGATTACTTTTTGGAAAACATTGATGTATCAATATCAAATTTGAACAAGCAGTTTTTGAATTATTTGACTTTATGTACTGAGGATAGTAGGTCCATAATAATGGGTTTAGAATATATTATGTGGAGGCTATGTTTTTTTAGTAATTTTTTAGTAATCAAAATGTCATAGTTTGTAAAATTTTTAAAAATTGTCCTTAAGTATATTATAAAAACTAGATCAAATATCAACTAGAACTATTTTATATTTTTGTTAAACCATTTTTAAGGACTACAGTCCTTAGTAGATATATACGTTTTAATAACTCAGAAGCTATTCGTTTTAAATTTGATTTTGATACGTCGAGATGTTCAAAAGTAGTCATCCGTTTAATAATTTATGGTAAAAATCAATCAATTGAAAAAAAATGTTGTGTCTCCGCCAAGGACATTCCTTAAATTATGGTATAAAAATGAAATTAATTAAAACATGGTCCGAAATAACGAAAATTATAACTTTATATTAAATCAATTATTAAATAAAATAATGGGGGTGAGCATGCTTGGTGAATCACCCTAGTACCTATATTATACACCGGTATTATATTATATTGAGTATAATATATTATTATATTGATATTATAAATGTCGTACCTACGGGAAACGACTGGCGTCGTTGTTTCTTCGTTTTATTATTGTTTTTAGTTCGTTATTCGTTGTAAAACGCATTGTTGGTCTGCACATTATTATCTGGACGTATCATTTAATATCACTCACGCCGGTTCAACGTTTCCCTTAAACGCGACCGATCCAGAGGTTGGCTAGAATTTATGACCCCTCGCCAACAAACACACCGAAATGTGTCGAATTTCGCTCATGTACACCTATTATTATATTATACGCTGCACGTGGTATTATTTTGACGGTTAATTCGAACTGTCGCGAAATGTCGTTCCTTTTGGGTTTACGATTATGGCGTTTTTGTTTTTATCTCTTCTCTTTATCACTGTCAATGTATATTCATCATTTTCGGTACACCTTATACGCTGTGTCTAAAAACATCCCTCACCCGACAACCCACCATCACGAAAAAATGAAAATGTTATGACGTTTTCAGCCTCAGATTATCCGAAATTTCACAGCAATAATATATCACAAAGAGCACTGAAATAGAAAAACGGTTGTATCAGAAAAAAAATGTACATAATGTATTGCATTTTGTTAACTGGCAATATTCTCTGTCATATAGAAATTCAATTCAAAACAGACTACAATATTATTTCTATGGATAATAAACTTTTAAGTATAGTGATTACTGATTGGAAAATGGATATGGGAAATTCGCAGTTTGTGAGGAGTTATGTTTAGAGAATTCACGATATTTAGGTTAAATTGAATACATTTTCATTCCATCATAAAGATTATTATTGATAAATGGATGCGACGTAAATACTGAAAACAAATTTGGACGTATATTATTTGCATGAATTTTAATTTGTATATAATTTTTTTTTTATCTGAAAAATCAGAATATTCGCTGTTGAAAATTACAAAATGTTCATTTTTACATTTTGAAAGTTAAAGACATTTAAGTCCAAATTTGTTTGTTTCTAGTAGAATCTACAAAATACAAGACGAGGAATTAAAACCTGTTTTCAAAATCCTTATTGTGTACCTAATTATATATCGATCAGTATCTACGTTAGATTGAAAATAGGTTTTCAGCAGCATTAACAGTTTCAAATCCACTTAAGAGAAGAAATACAACCATAATTTTTGCGACAACAATAGTGATTTACAAATTCAAATAATAGGTATAAAGTTTTCATAACATAGACGATAGACATTAGACATACGAAATCTACAGAATTAATCAATAATATTAGAAGTTATAAATTGTATCAAAAATATGTATGCTAAATTAAATAAACCATTATTATATTATTTTAAGCATACAGTTTTTAAATTTTTAAATATTGTAATCATATGAGTGATCGATGATGTTAGGTTAAGGGGGCTGCAACTCAAGTATTTTTCATACGTTTTAGACCAATATATACCTCCGATTTAAATTTTTTATACATGTTTGAATTCATTGATAAAATATCTAGGTTTCTTAGGAAGTCGATTTTCAATTTTCAATTTAAAATTACCTTTAAAAAACCATTTTTTTTTTTTAGAAATCCCATGTATTCCGATGTATTGACATGTGCGTGAGCGTGTGAGAGTTGCTTCCGACGAGGTTGCCAGATTCGACGTGCAACGATTCTCGGAAACGATAACGGATTACGCACACTAATGTTCATTTATTACTCACACACAGATACAGTATACATTTCTTATGTCACATGAATTGCCTAAACAGTACTCCTTAAAATATGCTACGGTGCATCCCCCTTAAGTGTTAGTGTTTTTCTCTGCAATGGTATTTTAGTGTTCAGTTATTATTATGGGGACTTCGGGTTATGCTTGATTAGTTGTCCAAAATATGCATAACTTTAGGTCAACGACGGTATGGGTATAAAATTAGCTGTTCTATCTCCATTTCACAACGAATTTTAATATTATTTACAGTTGTCTAATAATTATTTTTCAACACGAAAGAAAACGGTTTAAAAATCTTGAACCACTTTTTGCATACTTTACCCTGTTCAAAGTATTTTAACGAACGATATGCCTACAAGCACTCATATGTGTATATGTTTATGTTACAGACATGAAGTACCGGTGACCAACGATCCAATCACGATCGTGCACATGGACGACGACATCGTGGTAGTCAACAAACCCGCAAGCATTCCGGTAACTTGATTTATATAATTTACCTAATTAAATAATATATATATACACTAAAACCACTTTATAACTTACTGCTGTGATTTGTTTTTGGTTCAGTCGAGTGTCGTGGGAATAATACATACTATAATTGCTATTTATTATTAAAACAACTGCAACGGTAACGGGATGTGAGTCCGAAATGGAACAAAATTCATACTTACTTATCTAATTATTGTTTTTAATTGTTATAGTCTGTATAATAATAATATCCTATATTACTATTATTATATAAACATAAAATTAAAGTCATTAATGACGGGTAGTGAAAAACATTAGCTAGAAAAAATGTGTATTCTGTTAATTTTTTACAATTTAAAAAATTTGTAGCTCGCTTTTATCCGTAATCCTAAACATTTTATATTTAAATACAGTTAATTTCGTGCCATTAAAATATTAAATTCAAATTTTACACCGGAAAAATTAATTATCACTAGGGATGATTTCATATTCGTCTAGAAAAGTCACAGAACAATGTGAGTGATGTATAATGTCTTATAACACAAGGTCACAAGGAGGATATATTTAAAATTTTATTTTGTAAATTTTTGCACATTCGGTTGTTATTGTATATAAATACGTCATATTTCAGTATATTGGACAAATTAAGAGCATATTATAGTATATTAAAGTAAAAAATTGGAAAACTTTGATATTAAATATAGGTAACTAAATCTTATAAATTTCAAAATATTTGGGTGAATAGAGTTTAAAATAAATGAAAATCCATTATTCCATTCATCCACCAATTTTTTCATTAATTGTTTATTGTAATATACAAACCTATATAATAATGATTATTATTTATTGTACATTTGTACCCACATGCCGTTTTTAGACCACAATATTCACGTCACACGACTAAAGCCGGATTCACACTACACCGTGGCGTGGAAAATAATTACAGTTACCAAACGATACCGCATATAGTTGAATATATTCAACATTTAACCGTGTGGTTACATATTTTATGAGCGGAAAAGTGATAACTAAAATAAAATAATTTTATGTTATTATCAGGTACAATATTCAATACCAATAATCATTGGTATTGCATTTTGGTATAAACATAAAAATACAAAATCGCATGACACTTTGTAGTGTGAACCCGGCTTGAAAGGTTATCAACCTAAAATACCGTACGACAATTAATTTATACCGCGACCAAATACTGTTATGTATGGCAAATTTGTACATTGCTAATATTATAACACTTTACCGACCGACGGTAGACGACACTATGGACGACCAAAATATTAAAATGTATCTCAGCCAGGACACTTGGACTGGTCGTGCAGATGTGATAAAAAAAAGAGAAAAGAGTTAGGTCTGCTGCGATTTCTGCATTATGATATCAGACTAACCGTTGCTTCGCGTACAATACACCTACATAATACATTAATAAAATATAATATTGATAACTAAATTATTGTCACGTCAGGTTCATCCGTGCGGTCGTTATCGGCACAACACTGTGGTGTTCGTGTTGGCCAAGGAGCACAACCTGAGGAATCTCAGGACCATTCACCGTCTGGACCGGTTGACCAGCGGTCTGCTCATGTTCGGCCGGACTCCCAGGTACGCCCGCATCATGGAGGCACAAATCCGCAACAGACAGGTGAACAAACAGTACGTGTGCAGAGTCGAGGGGAGATTTCCCGAGTGAGTAAATTATGTCATTATTGTTGTTGTCATGTAAAAAGAATGTAAATACGCTGATGCAGTTGTATTTTGTATACGATATACATACCACTGACATTATTTAATAATATATGAGGAATCACATACAGGGTAAACTGGTTTGATATGACTCGGATTGACGTTTTTATGGTAATAATATTGTAATTACAATTTCGTTACAATGCTTATGTCGTACTAACTGTTTGTAATAATGCAGTAATGAATCGCTAACCAATTCACACCAATATATACCAACATATAAATAGGTATAATGCGATATAACATAAATGTGTTTTCTGTAATTTTCATTTTATTTTCTAATACATTTTAAAATTACGAACGGTACTTTGAATAAGAATCACTGTATTATATTATATTATAGATGGAAAAAAGTAGATTATGGTTGAACTCTATTATAAAAAAAACCTTGTACAGATAGTAAAGAAGGTTCTTTGGAAAAAATGTCAAAAGATTTTAAATAACAAGACACACATTTTGTAAAATGTTTAATGCTTTGATCAATGTGACTGTATTTATAAAATAAGACTTATTTCTAAATCTTAGTACAACAACTCAGTTTTATAAGAAAACGCTATCAATCATAAAACGTATTACTCTAGTTTTAAATTTGCAAATACCTGTTTAAATTATTAATTAAGAATTATAATATTTCACAAAAGACACTATAATTATAAGTATCTTTGAACACATTATAAAATGTTTATTTATATAATGTATGTCCGTTTTAATTAACCTAGGAGGTAAAACATAGTATTCAAATAAGACGTTTAAAATTAAATAGGTAGGTATCTATAATTTTTTTTATTTTTATTTTTAGAGGAGATTCTAAGTGTGTCAAAAGTTAAAATTAAGTATATAAAGTTAAAATTTCAAAAGATAACTGGTTAAAATTGTTTTCAAACATCAAATTTGAAATTGTTTGGTACCTATATATCATATGAAGATAGTGTCCCTCACACGTACGACTTGTGTACACAATATAATTTATATTTTTATAATCTATTATTATTAATATTATTATAAGCAGGCCGACTCCAATCATATTATATCCTGCAATGTAAATACCTACCTATTTGTCAAGGAGATTATATAATAATATAATATAATATTACTCGTCTTGTTATGCAATATAGGCAAACAATCGAGTGCAATCATCCTATTGAAGTGGTCAGCTACAAGATAGGCGTGTGCAAGGTATCCAACAAGGGCAAAAACTGTTCGACGACATTCCAATTAGTGGGCTACAACGAGAAGACCAACATCAGTGTGGTATTGTGCTTCCCACACTCGGGACGCATGCACCAGATCAGGGTACACCTTCAATACTTAGGTAAAACGTTTGTAATTTTAAATAACTGTAATGATTTGTACATACTGTAACAGTCATATTATATTCAAAACACTATTTCCTCCAAAAGGCCAGAGAAATATTTAGAACAGTCGTTCGTCGACTAAGTGACACTGCCGAGTCGTCGCACCATTCCATGTTTCAATTTTTTTTTGTTTCTCTTGACGCTTTTGAAAAATACTGGAAATATTGAACCCACTTTATTTAATTTCCTACCACTTCCAAAGTTAAAAATCGATCATTTTTCTGACTACTATAGTAAAAAAAACATCATTGTAAAATTAATACATTCATGATTTGTCACTCTGTTCAGAATTTAAAATATGGAAAAACATGAAATTTTATGAAAAACTAGTTTTCAAAAATATTTAATATTCTTATTACGCTATAGATACGAAAACAAAACATAGATACCTACATGAAATTTTCATCAATTATTGAGGATTTTTCATGTTTGGTTTAGATGGCCTATCCACCCCTGGTGTAGATACTCGCGAATGGACATTATTCTGTACCAAAACGGTTTATAATTTTTCTATCATACACATCAAACTATAGTAAAGCGATAACATTTTTGAAAACAGATCTGAAATTACCGATCATAGTTCACCTGAGATTTCCACTTTTTGGAATATTTTAACATTTAACCTCTCTTAAACTTCATTATATACAACATCTTGAAATTAAACAAATTAGAAAATGCCTTACCTGTATGGACATTATTCAAATCAATTTAAGAATTGAGTCTTAAGTAAAATCAATTGTGTTTCGAATTTTAACAATATAAACGATAGGCTGGCGCTCTTCGTGTTGCTCATATTGAACTCCTTGGAAATGGACCGTTTACAATCCTTTAAATATTATAATATTGTATATTAACCCGTTATATGCAGGCTTTCCTGTGAAGAACGACCCACTGTACAATCACGTGGTGTTCGGGCCAGAAAAAGGCCGCGGTGGCGTCATCGGCAAGTCAGACGAGCAACTGATTCACGATTTGATAAACATCCACAACGCCGAAAACTGGTTGGGCATGGACGGCGACTCGGAACTAATGCCGATATTGAAAGATGTGGACGTCGTCGACGAAGGAAAAAAATCACCACCGGGTAAGCAACATTAATTAATACACAATAAAATATAATGTTAATAAATGAACTGATAAATTATGTTCGGTAAAAAAATTTATATTTATATATATTTAAATACGTACATTACTAATATAACGAACACGTTTAATATAATAATCTACCAGTCATCTACATCGCCCATTGGGTGGTTGGTTGCTTTTCATTTACAACTGTCCCTGTTGCCAGTTATATTATCATAGGTTAGGTTCTAACATACTTTAAACATTCACACGTTGTGTTTTATAATCTGGCATTATAAGTCACGCATAATCCAGATCGGAACGTCTCACGGATTTTTAAAAACTATTATAGTTTTTATTCCAATAAATTCACTGTTAAAACTAAACTGGCGATTTAAAAAAAACATAGCGTTCATGATGTCACAGCAACGGATAGTAACGAAAAGTCGTGGAATTTATTTTTTTTCGCGATAATAGCTGTAAAAATAGTGCTTTTTTTGTAGTGTTTAACACGTACTTTGTAAAACCATATCATAAACTATATGTTCGTCAACAAGTTGTCCTATTCATCACGGCCAGTTGTCGGTATTTTTTATTACTGTCAACCGGACGAGTCTATTGGCAAAGATTGTTCAAACCATCGTACTCAGCCGTATTACTATTTTTGGATAATTTCCAAACCCATGTGACTACAGTTACGTTAAAATATTTTAGTCATGTTCATACAAAGAAGAAAAATGTAAACCTTAACACGCACTAAAAAAAAAATATTATACTTGATTTAATTAGTATATTTGTATTTTTTCTTACAAATGAATTTGTTAATTAGATATGTTGCAGTAGTTACGTCTTATATCTGTATAATTTGTTGACTATAGTAAAATAAGACTAGAAAATAAAATAATTGACAAGAATATAAATTGAATTATTTTATATTGCATTTACCAAGTACGGTTTCCGCATACAAAAATATGTATGGGATACCTTTTTCATGTTCGTGTGATATATTTTTTTTAATAATAATAATAACATTATTACACACATGGTTGGATTAATTATAAAACGGCGCATCGTATAGGCAATATAGCACCGTCCATGTGTGTATTGGAACAAAAGTATAAAAACAGTTTCATAAACTGGTCAACTGCTACAATTTAATATATTTTATAATATTATTACTGGATTGCATGAACAATCACTAAACATTTATTGAATCAATAATGAGCTAATGACCCCTTAAACATGGTTTAGTTGTATAATTGGTCCGTTAAATTTTATTGAACCATTAAATTAATTAATTTTTCATGCAACCCGGCATTATGTATTGTATTTTACAAGATCGCATCTGTTAATATTATATTCTGTTTTACAAGATCATATGTGTTAATATTATATACTATATCATTTGACCATAATGATTTCGAATATAATCTCAACATTATTTATAATATAATATTAGACTATGGAGAAGAGAATTTTAAGTATTTTCTTTTTTTTTTTTACTTTCTTATTACTGTAGATTTATATGATTAATTAAAAACATAGTTGCTTTTTTAAATTTGTATTGATCATGTTTTTTTTTATTATTTATTAAATTTTGTTTTAACTCACATAATGTATCAACATTTAACTTCTTGCATATTAAGCTTTTTCATTTAGTTTTAAACTAATTATCTTAAAATAATATTAGAACAACAATAATGACAGAACTAATATACATTTTCAGAATAAAATAAATTAATCAGCTTATAATAAAAGTATTAATGTCAATAAGTATCGTTCAACCGTGGTCGAGACAATAATAATAATTTGATATTTTTATAAATAGGTAAAATGTTTACCATAAATCTATTAATTTAGGATGTGTAAAATATATTCCTTAAACTTAAAATCCTATTAAATTTCATTTTAACATACCCTTTTCATAAACAATATGTAATTTTCCTTTATAATATTATATTAACTAACCGTTAAATTTATTTCCCATCTTTTCATCTGTTCAATCAAATAACGTGTGTACTTCATTGTTATATAAGATTTAATCTATTCCAATATAACTATACGTATGTATCAAAGTATCCAATAAATACCTCTTTTTTATAATTATTTGTATTCAAATCTGCCAACCATTTAGCTTAAAAGTTTACCATATACATAGGTATTAAGTTCAATAGTATATGAAACCATCGCTTATCTTAATCACAGTCAATTATTTGTCATACAATTTCAATATCACAAAATAAATGTGTACTTAAATGAGAAAATATTAAAATATTTAGTGAGCACATTTAAATTATTAAGTATAACATTTCATCACCACTGGACCGTTTACCTTAGTTACCGACGCAGTTACTGATTGAAAGAAGTACTGAAATAATATTTTTGTCAAGTTTTATATTCATATAATAATTAATACGTGCATTCGTTTTTATGCTATAGAAAATATCATTATTTTATAAAATACATTGTCACAACTAAAAACAAAAATACGTTATTGTACTATATTCATTAAATATATATCTTACAACCGAACAAAAATATATATATTATTATATGTGGTTAATTAAAATGATTTCAGTGTTCAAACTTATACCGGAAAAATTATTTAATTAAAAAATGGATATATAATAATATAGACAATACACATATTATATTTCATTGTATCTCAGTTGTGCTCTCGCATCTTTGTTTCTATTATTTGCGATCTTATAAAATACCTAGTTATATTTATGAGCGAGGTCTCTTGAGAAAATGGCTTAGCGTAGTTTCATTATTATTAGTATTTTGATTTAAAATCGTATTTTTATTTAGAATAATTTCTGTTATTGTAAGATAAATCCTAGTTAGTGTCTCAATGTCTCATACATTTTAAATAATGGGTATTTAATCTTTAAATTGAAACATTTAATATTAAATAACCACAGGAACATCATAAATGTCATCAACGATTGTTTTAAATACATGTTCAAGCTTTAAAAGAAGTCGTTAGTATAATTTCTTTTTTATTTATGTTTATTTGAAAAAATACAAACTAACAATCAACAATTCATCAGACTGTATAAAAAATATAAACTAATTCTGTTATTAACGTAGATTAATAAATAATTATGAAATCAATTATTAAATCAAAAAGTAATATTTTATTAAACATATTAAACTTAGATAACATATCAGAATTTCGTGAAGGTTATTTGGGAATTTTCAAAACCTAAGTGCTATTTCAAAAAAAAATAATATATATATATAAGAAATCTATGCTAGATGTAACGATAGTAAGTGTTTCATCATAGCTGAAATGAGAAAGTTCAAACAACAATATCAAATATCGTGCGGTATCTGCGGGATGTAAGTGAGCATTTTTTGGAACGAGAAAATGAGAAAATAAATGATAAAAGAAAACGATTTTGAGACAAATTGTTGTATTCTTTTTTAACCACATATTTATTACATGTAATACAAGTCTCTATAGTCTCTAATATTTTTCTCTATAATATCAATTTGCTGAACCTAATATAAAAAAAATACTTTTTAACCATATGATTAATAATGACAAATATAGCACCAATAGTATTACCTACCTACTACAATATTAATGAATAATAATGAATTAATAAATGGATTTTACTGTGTAATCAATGCGTTTGTATCGTATTGGTTTCTGAAAGAACAAAAAATAAAACCCCCCGTTTATATACTTATAGGAAACAACAAAACAACGACAGCAATAGCCAGCCATATTATCATTATTACCAAATGGTATTGGGACGATATTATAATATTTTGATTAAATTAATTTTAAATGTAAAACGCCAAGTTGCGATGGTTTCGATATTATATATTATTATTATTAATGTCTAAAAGGTTTCAAAAAGAACGAATCGGTGGTGGAACAACATCAGCACCAGTTGCAAATAAAGGGCAGACATACCAATCAGCTTCAGTTGCAGTACGACAGTGCAATGAACGTGTCCACGCAGACAGGACAAGACGTGCCGGACATGGATTTCGACGCCGAGAAGCTCACCCACGACCCACATTGCTACGAGTGCCGGGTGAAGTTCAGGGACCCGAAACCAAAAGACCTCATCATGTACTTGCATGCTTGGAAGTACAGCGTAAGTATTTGATTGGACAATAATCTGTGCACAGGCGCACCGTTATAATATTATTATTGTTGTATCGAATGAGTCGAATCGTCGTCGCGTAATGGAATTAGAAACCAACCGGTATTTGGCACGTGAGCTGATTACGAAAATGTACTCAATAATACAATAATATTTTGGTAGTCTGCAGTGTAATAGGCATAGCAAATCGATTCAGTTCTCTTTAATCTTATTGCCCCAAAATAAAATAGCTTTGGCGTTGCACATAACGTCCGATAATATTTTAATTTATAATATTGTTTTTTTTTTTTTGCTTGAATTATAAACTAATTTATGTCGTGAAAAAATATTATTTTACAATTACCGTTTAAATAAATTATTTTTGTATAATATAGTTTTAATTACTTACTTACGTTTTATAATAGAGCTACAATATTAATTATTGTAAAAAAATTAATGTTCTTATTTCTACCCATTTTTAGGACGTCTTCTTTAATTAGTTCATTTGTACATTTTTAACCAAACAATAGTTATTATCGAATTAGGATAATTCAAAATGTCATGCTTAATTTACTTAGTATTTGTTAGCCTGAATATTAGATAACTATAATATTTGAAAATTCGAGAGGCTCACTTATGAATAAAGTTATTATACGCATTAATCAATACTTCATATACTGAAAATAATATTATAACTATCATTGCTGCAGTCTGCAATCCTACTGAAAAATAATAAATTGTTTCGATATTATTATCTCTTAATATTTAAGATTAATATCGTAATGACAATCGATGCCTCTTGAATTGAAAATAGAGACTGAGAGCCAAGTAAATAAGTGTCCTTTATTTCCACGAAAGACAGTACTTATACCTATAATTATAGTATATATATTAGCCTCTAATAATATGAGTCTTATAGGGTCCCTCTAAATTGTTAAGGTGCACAGAATATAATATCTTCATACAAGCAAACTAAAAAAAAATATATATATATTAAATGCAGTAATCAATATTGTCATTCCATGATTTAAAATATGTTTATAATTCAGCAGACATTTCGTAAATAATTAATACGGTAGGTAAATACGTTAATGGTTTTAAAAATATTTCTCAAAGTAATAATAATTATAATAATAATATGGATGGGCAAAACTGCCATTTTTGTGAATAATATTCATGTCATAACGTATTATTATTAAGTTGTACATATTATTTTATATGTATTTCGTTTTTTTATTAAAACCCCCCCTCGCCGCCCTGCCCTCAGTTTCATGTTTTCTTCCTTTCATCAAAATAACGTGCACTTAAAAATGTTAGTAATCGCATTAAACTGTGTTTGACAACTCTTCCGGCATTGCAATTTATGGTAATAAATTCTCTTTATTGTTGTGATATAAATTACATCTAATTCTAAATTATAAAATATGTAGTGTCGTTAAAAAGGCTTTGTGTTGAATTATCTACACTGTTAATCACATTAATGTCGATCATATTTTTCATAATAATTGTTGCATGGTCTTGAGTGCTTCTCATTAGGTACTTAATCTTGTATTTCCAATTTATTTCACTTTAAACCTTTACACGAAAATAATATAATTTTTCAAATTAAATAGTTTGGCCGTTTTTAATAATTTAATTTTGTATTCATATTTTCGATGAATTAATTATGCGGTTATTGTATAATTTAAAAAGTAATAACATATTATAATATACTACCAGATGAAAGAATAATATATCACTAAAGAAGTACCTACGTCATAAGTTATAATGATCGGAAATAATAATTTAATAACAGTTGACAGCGGAGAAAAATAGGTTCAGACAGAACTCTTAATGCAATATTATTTTTATTATAATAAAGTTTTAGATATTAACTACTATAATATAATACGAATATTAAAATTAATAATATTTGGACACGGAAAAACCATACTTAGGTTCAGATTATTGGTATTTGGTACATAAACCGAAAAACCCGATTGAAAGAATTACGTTTAAAAAGTCTTTCTTTTTTTGACTCGGGTAGTAGGTAAATATAGTATATAACCTACTAGTAACCTAGTATAATAGTTAATAGTATTTTTACCTATATTCTACGTAAAATGTTACTTGAAACGATAAAATCTTGTCTCTCTTGTTGGTACCTACCCACTGTTAAATAATTTCATGATATAGACGGTACGCACGTGAGTACATACTTAAATAACTAGCAGGTATGTATATGGAAATATCGTCTATACCCAGACTGACGATGACGATTCGCATAAGCCTGCAGTTGTATTGTTATTGGTACAATATCTTCTCCTCCTGCACAGGATATTTCGGGAATGGATATCCATTGAACAAGCTGTAGGCTCACATTGTACGCGCCGTGACAAAGCTCACTATGTATATATTTTCACTTCCGGCTCCTTGGGTTCGCTCATCTGTGCATCTGATCGGTTTCTTGCACATAATATCAAATACAACGACTGGCGCAGTGCAAATTCAATAGAGTCTCGCCCGATATTGCATTTATATTCCCAACTCGCACACCACTTTTTGCCCTACCCTGTCCGAAATGTCATTTATTGCGTCATCGCGACAACGTGTAGGCGCAACACGTCACGCGTGTAACCCGATACACAATAACACCATATACACGCGTAGGTATATACACTTGGAAACGATTATTCGCATAGAAAATTTACGATGCGTACGTACATAAGCCCCGGCTGTAATGTCGCATACAACAATGGACGGTCGTGGGCGGCGGGGAGGGGGAGGGTTTGACGATTGAAGTGTTTCCATACGATATTATACGGTGCAGTATTCAAAACGTAATTTGTGTTGTGTTCCAAGAGATGTGCCGCGGCGAGAGGCGAATATTATTGGTTTTACGATGATGTGCATTTCGTTTTGGAAAACGTTTTTTCGGTTGATAAAATAAATAAGAATATACACCCACCCTGCATTTACACAGCCTGCAACGGTGTAAAACGGTACGCGCCATTTACGTATTACCAAAAACAATTTCGTTGGTAGGCTACAAAAATAACGTTGACGAACAATAATACGATACGCGAAATATATAACACGTCCTTTGTTTTTGAGGAAAATCAGACAACCTCGTTTTGAATAAACTCACCGAATCTCTATGCCCTTTTATTCGGTTAAAAATATGATTTTAAATACTTATACATACAATAAATCAGATTTAATTTACCATCACTACTGCAGTACTTCATTAGTTGATACTTGAATAGCTCAATAGCTATCAATAATCAAATACATACCCTATCAGGCAAATGTGTATTTACTCATAAAGTCATAACTTATCGTCAAAAACAACTATTATTAGCTTAAAGGTATAACGTTTAACAATAAAAATAAAACGAAAAATCTTACGGAAAATTTACAAACTGTTATGTTTTTACAAGGATAAAATTTATTGGACTTAAATTGTTAAATTTTTAATAATAATACCATAGTAAATAAATGATAAATTATACTATACAGTATACTGCAGTGGTCAACGTTAAATAAAACGTTCAAACAACAGCGTTCGTTTTGTTAAACTTAAATTAACAAGTTTACACTTCCAATTTGTTTGGTCTAATCAGAGTAGTACCCTAGGGATTGTTCCCAGATTGACGAAGCGTTGCAGTATATTACTATGATTATAGGTTCCTTAAATAAAGTTTCTATATTATTTGTTGTCATCTATATAAAGGACTCAAATTGAACGCATCCAATTATCCATTGAATTTCATAGAAAAAAATAACGATGATGACAAAAAAATTTCAACAATTTTTTAGATATAGGCTGACTTCCAGAAAATATAGCGTGTGCCTATAGTTAAGCTTAATACAACAAACGAGTATGACCTAGAGCTAGTGATATCCCATTGAAAGTGTAGGACTCCGGGGGGTCGTTGAAGCTTTGCAAGTATACCTACTACATACTTGGTCAATAAAAATATTTTATTTAATTACATCGACTACTATGCCATGTATATTATTATATATGTATGTAAATCGTTTTTTTTATTTTATCGACTTGCTTAATAAATAATAATCAATGTTTATATCTAATGTTAATATTATTTTGTATGATTATACTATTTAAATTAACGTCAACCTGTGCCAATTTTCAACATTTTAAAGAATTCTATAAAATTTTAAAAATTTTATTTTATATTTTAGAAACCACTTTAAATATAATTAATTGCCTGTAATCTACGATACATATTTAGGGTGTGGGGGGAGGGCTACAAAAATGACTTCGCAGGAAAAACTCTCAGACCTCGTAGAATTGTCAGATTTTAATTACTTTTTTTTTTATCTGAAAGAATATTTTTATACGGCACTCATTTTGCTCCGATTTTTTTTTTGTTTATAATTTATTAATTATTTATCATTTGTAAAAAAAAGTTAATATTATATAATTTATAAATATATTGAAAAACGGAGTTCAGTATAGCCTGTAGAATATTTCGCACAATTAATTTAAAAATCAAAGTTGATTGAATCTATAGGAGAGAATCCTTATTCCCTTATAGTGGATTTTTAAGGACAAAATTACATAAGCAAGCTGAGCGTATAAATATATTGGAAATAAATCTCATGGTTGGATCTCCCACCCAACTCACTAGAAAATCCTGTTTGAACATAATCAACTCACTAAGCTAATAATGGATAATGGCTAATAATTAATATTATAATAAATAATAATACATAATATATTATATACTAACGTATGTATTAGCTGCAGGTTTAAGACTTTAACGGTTGCCCCGGAACGCATTAATAAATGTACAAAATTATAAAATATACCGTCGTCCCGTCCGATTCATACAGGTATGCGATAAATGACTGCAATAAAACCATATTGTGCAATGTCTTAAAGCAATATTTTCCTACCGGCTTTGTGCTCGTTATGCCACATAATTGAATATTATGTACCTTATAACGTACATTGTTATTTATTAATTATAACACTGTATAATACTATCACGACACAATTTTATACAGTGTTTTAAGGTATTTGACTACCGATACTTAAATACAATTTTAGCATTGAATCCTTTTTTTAATACTTTTTATTTTAAGGTATTTTAAATACATTTTTTTATGATATCGAACACTACCTATTGGTTAAACCCCATTTTTCTTTTTAAGTTCTGAAAAATGTATCACGAAACTACCAATTTCTTTAAATTGACTATCGACCAAATCATCGCTGTAAAAAGTCTTCATGAATGGCGATACTATGTATAACCATTAACATAATGTTTATGAATTGCGATGAAAAATTATATAAATATGTTTTACTCCTAAGCGTAATAAATGTATAAAATAATTGAAATGTGTTACTATACCCCAATTGAGCTATAGCCTGTAAAATCTTATAATCACTAACGATTCTTACAACTATGGTGCATGATATAAGAAGCTTAGAAAAATAATTCTGTAGCTGTTTTTATGTTTTATTTAATTGATTTATTTTTTGACTCGAAAGTATTTTAGTTGATACTTATGTTACTCAAACAATTGTTTGAGACTAGTAGGTACCTACATACTTCATACTTGTGTAGTATATTTTGGAATAATTTTGTACAACAATGATGCTATAATATTAATATTATCTTCGAACATTTGAACTAGTTTAAATATAATATATTACTTACAAACTAGTTTAAAATGAGGAAGATTATTCTACAACAAATTATCTCGGAAACAATAACCAAACATGTTTTTATACATACCTACCTATTTATAAAATTTTTTTTTACCTACGTACTTACATTAAGTCTTACTAATATTCTTGTATGTCCACAGGGGCCTGGATGGAGTTATGAAACAGACCTTCCAGTATGGGCCAACGTCGAATGGAAGGAACCGGAATAAATATGAAATAATTATGGACCTATTGCAGCAACAGGGTGGGCCTTACGCAAGTCGATTGACCGAAAAATAAACTGTTTTTGGAAACTTCTGTAATTAAGAGCTTTTTTTCGGTCAAATGACTAATAATAATAATTTATATATATTGTGATGGCCCCCTTCTGTATAATATTATATAAGTATTAATAAATAATATTTAAAATAAATAATTACTATAATTCTTTATCGTGGTTTCGTAGTACTCGGAAGTAAAAAATTTAAAAATTAAAAAACAAAGAGTGCTGGCGGTTATTATATTCTTTCTTCTTTTTTTTTATTGTGATAAATAATAACTGTCGTCTTACAAGAAACTCTATATATTATACAGTATTTAATATTATGATAAAATTATGCGTTGTAATTGTAATATTAAAATATACACGTCATACAATAATAATTATAAATATAATATATATACGCTATACCTACATTTAGGTGCAATATAATAATATACCAACACGATATCATAATAATGATATTTATGTACGATAATTATTGTAATGATATTATACTTCATCAAAACGATTATATTATATTATCTTTTATGACCGTGTGTCACGATTTTGTGTGTTTGTGTGTGTATTTGTGTGCTTTTTGGTGTGAGCGTGATTTTTCACCAGCATATTTTGACTTAAGCAAAAAAAAAATAAATCTACAATAACTAGAAATCAGAATCGGGATTTTTGTGAGTTCTTAAATAATAATATTATTCTTCGTCGTAATTTTAGTGTATTCATTTTTTTTTCTTACGAATACTCTATTAATTTTAAGATAAAAATTAAAATACTACAAATGATTGTTTATAAGACAAAAAAAACCACTTCATATTACCAATAATAATTAAGTTATTTATTATAATACATATAATTATTATTATTATTATTATTATACTATCTACTATCGCGCTCTGTAACCGTTGTATTCGCTAAGACATAATGTTTTTGTGATTAGTTTTGTGTTGGTAGTTATGGTTTTATTATTGTTAGAGCTTATGTCTTATTATTATTATTATTGTTAGTCAAATATAGACACTTATTATACTAGCATATACCTATAGTAATGAATAATAATAATTATAATTTATGATTAATGTTATTCTTAATATTATTATCATTATAATTATGTGTATTACTTTATTATTATCATTATTATTATTATAATTATCATTATTATTATTATTATTAAGCATAACGGTTAGCCTACACCGAGCAATGTGCAGTGTTGTCCACACAAGGTGAACCGAAACGCAGTTTTTTCGTAGTCATTTCCATGTAACACTTATAATATATGTGTCGTACTTAATATCTCTCGGCTTGACCGACAGTTAGTGATTTCCATAATCCATAAGTAGGATTAGTATTTGTTTTTATTTCAAACTATTGTAGTTATTATTTGTCTAGTGTGCTTAATAGAATATTAAACATTGAAAAAGAGAAGTATTGTATTTCTGTTTTGTTTTTTTTATTTCCATATTATACATAATAATATGCAATACGTATGTGTGTTTGTTGTGTGACACTATTATACCTATCCTATATATTATAAATACTATGCTTTTATAGGTTCTTACTATTTACACCTAGAAATCAAAACTGTTTGAAAAAAAAACATTTTTTCCTGAGAAGTGTAAGAAAACTAACAACCGGAAATGAAAATATTTTATTGTTAGGTAACTACTAATAAAGTAAATAATAATATGTCAATATTTCCGTAGAAATATCGATATCAGCATTGAGAAAACGTTTATTTAACATTTTTAACATTTTGAAAAGAAAAAAAATAGATAATAATTTATTGAACGAATAAAAAACCTGGGAAGTCGTTCTGCTGTATAGTTGGTATATCCGATACATATATAATATATATTATATCGGATGTACTTAGTCATAGATAGTGACTGCAATAAAGTATGTTGAACTAATATTTACCAAAAACAGATCACATAAAATAATAGTAGGTATATATTAAATCGTTTTTGCCATGAACAAGAGAAGGTGGAGACTTGGCTATGAAACGATATAGTCTTAACGGCCCAATGAACACAAGAAGAAGAAGAGTAAATAGTTTAATATTAGGTATATCATATAGCAGTGGTGCAACTAAGGCTAAAATAATTATAAAACTAAAAAAATATAATAAAAAAAAAAAAAAAAAAGAACTACTGTGAATTTTAAAAAGTTTATTAATATTTTAGGAAATGACAATTAATTTTTTTTTTTTTTGGGGGGGGGGTTATTACAAGTTTTGTGGTTGCTAAGTCGGGGGAGGGGCAGCCATAGTACCCCTAGTTGCGCTTATATTTACTAGCAGTTATTAACTCATAAGTCAACGCCAAACGGTGAATATATTATGACCATGGTCATATTAAATACCTTAAAACTAATCAAAATATTTGACGTTTAATTTTGTAATAATATAAGATAATGGATAAACACAGTAGCGATTAAGTCTTCGTGTCCTTATGAATCACATCTTTTGAATTACAAACAAATAACTAAAATCGTTATGATTAAAAAGTGTGCATTAGTGACTACTTATTTTTGAAATTAACATAGTTAAGTGAAATTGTTTGGAAATTTCTAACTTTATGCATAGAATATGACAATTTAAGTAAATGTGGAATGTAAAATGTTCGTTAACTACGACTAATATTGTTTGAATACTATCAATTATCAAACTAACAAAAATCTTTATTATACGTTTGAAATTAGAATATCCAATGGTCGTCAAAGTTTTAACTTCAGTAGTTCATTAAAAGTCAATTTGATATAATACTAAGTTTTTTTTTCAGACCTTGAAACTTATTTCAAAATTAATTTTAAATTTTGATAAATTAATCGTTAGAAACTTTTTAAGAAACCAAAAGTAATATCAAAATCTGAATTATTATTCCAATGATGTTCAAAATCTATAATCGTATATTAAAAAGAATTAAAACGATAATTTATATAAAAATAATAATAGTCTTATAATTTTTATAAACAAATTTATTAAAAAAAAAAAAAAAAACATTCAATGCACGCAAAACAAATCGCATGACTGGTATACAACTGAACTACGATTTCAAACCGTGCTTTTTTTTATATTCCAAAAAAAAAACTGATGAAGATTCTTGCATTAAATTTACAAGGTTAATAGGTAATCAAAAATTGTGCAATTATAGCACAAAATAATTAACTCCAATATAATTTACATATTTTTGATTTTCTGACAAGTTTCGTAAACATTCTAACAAACTTCAAAAACAATAAAACATATTAAAAAAAATTGTGATTAATATGTATTTTTTTAAGTTAAAAACAATTTATGAGGAACTTTTATTAATTAATAGTCTCAAACAAAAATTTTAAACATAAATCCAAAAAAGTTAAAATATTTTGATAAATATAATATAATTTTGACTAAATGCTTACATAAATATTTGCCCACAAAGTTCAATATTGAATTATTATTCCTGATTCTTAAGTTAACGCCAGTTACAAAAAAAATGTCAAAACACGTTCATCTTTATAAAACCAATACATTTATCGCTCTGCTCAGAATCCAAAATAGATGATAAAAATAAAAAAACTTTGAAAATAAACAGTCCCTTATACAGTTGAAAACAAATCAAAATTTTTTGAAAATTGTATCGTGTATAGAAAATGCCAATATAAACGTTCAGTGAAAATGTCAAGTATATTGTACATACAGTAATTCGTCTTAGAGTTACAAGAAAAACCAAAATCGATTTTGTTATAACCGATTTTGCGTAATAGTTGCCGTTTTCCCTTAATTTTTGTTTTGTTTTTCCCTGCGCTTTTGAAAACTATTGAGAATTTTAAATTTTTACATCCCGAATCTACCAACCATATTCACTATTCGAACAAGACACTGTTGAAGAAAATCGAAGCAGTTTTACTGACCACAAAAATTAAAAATAAAAATAAAAAAACATACATCATTGTAAAATCAATACATTCATCACCCCGTTCAGAATCTAAAATTGGCGAGTAGGTACCCTTATATAATATGTGTCTATTTATAAACCCGAGATATACGAGATTTAAAACTCACTGCAGTTTTGTTTTAAGGATTTATAAATATTATGGTATACTCGTACAACTGTTATACAAATATTGCACAAATCTAAAACTACGACATTCATTAATAATAGATTTACGATATTAATCGTCATACGTTTGAATAAAAATAAAATAATATAAAGTACAATTGTATTTTACAAAATCTATAATTCAACTGTTGGAATTTAGTTGTAAGTACCTTGGACCTTGGTGGCTCGGTTTATAATTCAAATTATTTTTCATTCAACATAATGATAAATATTATAATAATACTTTAATAGTTTAAAATCTTTAAACGTCAGTAAATATTTAGCTGTTTTTCCAACATTATATTATATAATTATAGAACGTACCTAGCCATATAGGTACAGTTGGCGTTGCTGTAGTAGTAAGTACCTACTTACATAAGAATGGCGTTCTGTTAGCTAAATGTTGAAATATACTAAAAAAAAATAATTAACAATGTAGCTGTTTAATATAAGAGTATAAGAGACAGTATCATGATTCATGAGTCAAGAACTTTTGACAATACCTTTACTCGATGTCTTATATGATTTTTAGTTTGAATAAATAAATCCGTAGAACCTGCATGATGTTGAACATAATATTGTATAGGAAAGATTGTAATATAAAAAATAAATACATCCAACATTTTTATAATTTTTATATAATATGTACCGTTAATAATAATAATATATCAGTGTCAAGTATTCATATCGTTTTTGCTTTTTTCAGTGTTGGGTAAGTTACTTTTTAAAAGTAACTAAGTTACGTTACTAGTTACAAAATAAAATAGGTAACTAGATTACTTGTTAGTTACTCAAGTACAAAAGTAATGCGTAACGTTACATTTTTTACTCAAAAGTAACTAGTTACAATGACGTTATTTTTATGTTATTAGCAGTAATCCGTACGTCGATGTACATAATATTTTATCAGATATGATCTAAAAATAAATAAACTATATCAGTTGCTACGGTAATATGATGTCATATATATAATATTACATGTCGTGAAGTAGCACCACGGTTTATCCCCCCCTAGCTCCCCAAAAAATTAATGTAACCAGTTTTTCTGTTAAGTTACTTCTAAATAATTAACGTAGTTACTCTTGCGTTACCCAAAAAAAATAACAACGAAGTTACTTAATGTTACTGAAAAGTGTAACTACGTTACAGTAACGAGTAACGCACTTTACGTTACTACCCAACACTGACTTTTTTGCATAAAAAATTAATTATAATGACTGAAGTAATCTAAACGTTGAACATTTAATTTAGCGAGGAACGATAAAACAAAAATCACATTTCTCTTTGGTTTTTTAAAAATAAATATGTCTTATACACAACAGTCGAGTGATGTACATAATAATATTGATATTGAATAAATATAATATTATATTTTTGTTTATCCAATATCGAAAAATAAATTTAAATAGTATTGTTTTTCGTCGTATTGGGTACACATTGGCTTATAAAATATATAATGGATATAATGGTACGATGGAACAGAAAAAAAGTGAATAAAATAATATCGTTCCTATACATAAAAAGATAAAGACTTGTGGTAAAAAAAAAAATATTACGATTAAAAAATAAATACTTCTTGCGAGAATAAGAACTCACTTAAAACTAACAAAATCTTGGTAATAACATCTTGACCATATAATATGACTTCGATTCGATTTCTCATAGGTTATAAAGATAAAAGTCTTGGTCTGTACTACATTTTCGACGAGCCCGCCTGCATCGTTTCTGGCGGCGGTAATTCGACGACGTCGTTGTCCTCGTCGTTGGCCGACGGCCCTGGTTGTTCGTCTAGTTCCTTATCGTTTTTCACCTGGAAAAAGCACGTGATCTCTTTCTGCCAAAACGGAATCTCTCTGGGGTGCACTGGATTTCCACCACCTACCGAGTATTTGTCTAAAGCCAAAAAAATAATATAACATTTGTAATGTCAGTGAATTAGTGGATAAAACAACGAAAAACCTCGTAACCACCACCTCCACACCACCACCACGCACCGAACATGACCAGCGTACGGATTGTAGGAAATACTAATATAATAATAACATGCCAAAAGACTTGAGAGTGCAATTACTTTTGGAAGTGGACGGAGATGACGACGATGACGAACCACTGCTGCTGCCGGCCATGGACGCTTTGCACGCAGCAATTTTAGGCACTTTCCCAATGGAAACTTTAGATGATACAAACACATGAAAAAAAAAGAAAAAAATAGATTAAAAATATGATATAATATATTATTATTGTAGGTAGTAGGTGTCCAATAAGTAAGGTAATACAGAGTAAAGTAGTTACAATATTCAGAAAAAGAGCATTCACATTTTTTTTGTAAAAATGACGTATTGACAACATTTTCATCCACAATTATATCTTATATTCATAATTAAGGCGATTCCACACTACCGCTTTTTAGAGTAAAATAGACCCATAACGCGTTCCAACGTACTATAACTTGTGTTTTACTCCTATAATAATTTTGAAAACATATTTTAATTTATTATGAAGTCTATTTTGAATCCGCTTCGAATCAGAATGGTAAAAAAAAAATTTTAAACTATTTATGTCCATTAAGATGTTTAAGAGTACAAGTTTTTTTTTTCTAAATTTCAAGTGAGGTTTTTCTTTTTAAGAATAATAAATTAAAAATGTGGCTTGAAGGATCCAAAGTTGATTGAACAACAAAACAAAATTTGTTTTAAAACTTATTATCGGTGTAAAACTCGGTATGTTGGAATTCGTTTAGGTCTATGATTTACAACATTTCGCCATGACATAAATTTGTTGTTAGGCATAATGTGACATGTGCATGCGAGTGCGAGTGCGCAACGCTTATCTCATTTACAGGGAAGTCACTCACACTAATGATCATTTACTACACAGAAACATGGACGTCACGCACGCACGTACTATACAGATTGTCTAAAAATTGCCTATACTCAACTCCTCTAAAACGGTCGGTATGAAATCCCCTTAAGTCAATTTTTTTTTTTAGTATTATAATATAAATTATACATATTCAATACTTGAGAGATTTAAATGTTCTCTCGTTTCACTGCTTAATATAATATATTACGTAAGGTGCACACAAACCATCCCAAGTGAATTGTAAAGTTTTTCAATCGACTAAAATATATAGGTACCTACTGATTTAGTGTATTTTATAGTCGCGCATTCTTATTTTTTCGAAAAATCTATTCGTTAAATTTTTTCGGTAAACAAAATCAACAGTTATTTGACGTTCTGAACGTAAATTAATTTATTATTTTGATTACACCCGACTACTTAATTGTTTTAATGATTTAGTACAATAATATAATACCTGCGCTACCTAATAAGTAATAATTAATACCTAACTATAATATGTATTATGTCCCTGAAACCTGAAAGATTATTATGTTACATACAGACTTTGTTAAAAAAATTAATCCATTATTTTAACACTTAAATATTTAGTTAATTTCGCTAATTTGTAAAATTACTAAAATATACTTTGTAATAAAAAAAAATTAAGGTCCTAAAGAAACACTTTACACAGTGGCACTACAAGAAAAGTTAGTATATAGAATGAATATAAGCCTCAATGGGCAAAAATTGAGAAAATAATGAGAATTCCATACTAACACAGCTTCTTGAAAATACAAAGTATTTAGAAACTCCCAACCCCTTCCCATTGAGACCAACTATATATTTTCCGTAATTATTGTTCAGCCATAATGCATAATTATTGTACTGTCGGATTTGTAATAATTTCTATTGAACATTTTTCTGCTTATAGAATAAAACTGTAGGTAAAAGAATATTATAAAACCTTTATATTATATAAAACAAATAGATAGGTAGGTATATTTATGAATATAAAATAGCTGTGGGTTTTCAGTTGTATATATTATTTTATCATATTCTCAACAAAGAGTTTTAAGTTTTAGCATAATTTCAGGATTAAAAAATAAAATTTAATCAAATAGTTTCAGAAAAGTTTTTCAAACAAATATAATATTATGTAATGGACGTATATATTTTTACACCAAAATTAAATATTATGGAAAATTGTTTTATAATATACAATTTTTTAAATATTTATTAAAGACATACCAATCTATAGTTTTTCTTTTTACATATTTAAGCTGTACTTAATATATTATTTTATAACATTATTTATATTTAATACTTGTTTTATTTAAGTATAATGTTATTTTTAAAATTATTTGGTCATTTGTACTTAAACGTATTTTGTAAATGTCGACCCATCTAATTCTCCACCTTACACTTTATTATCATTTATTTTGACCTACGAGTTATACGTACTTACTATTTAGTCATTAGTCATGCGTTCTGTAATTCTACTACACCTACTACCTAGGTAGTTTAAGTTACTCGCAACCATATCAACTGACTACCTTTGACGTAGATACCAAATGCATGCAAAAATTCTCAGCCAACAAAATAACTATACCAAATGTTTCCTTCTGGTTCTCCGATTTAAAATGAAAATCATGATTAAAGCCAAATATTATAATAATTTATTAGATTTATAAAATGTTCAATTTGCATTTATTTGAATAATTTTAAATAGTAATCACTTAAGAGGTCAAAATAATATAAATGTAACATTTTAGTTTGATAATAATAAGTAAAAAAATATTAATTTCCTGTGAAAAAACATCTTCCGTCGTCAGTGATATTGTACTTTCACCATTTTGGATACCAAATAGCAATCAATTTAAACACAGTCGTGAACACAAAAGTAGCAACAAACCATAGAAATTAGTACCTAACGAATTTACGTGTGAGTGGGTGCTATAGACTTCCCACCTGGCCTGAGTAAAAGAGTAAGCATCTCTAATATTCATCATCGAAACAAAAAACATTTATCATAAATATTTCATATATTGGTATAATGTGTACAGCAAATAAAATTACATGTCGTGTACCAACCAACGAAAAAAGACATAAAATAAGTTCTTAATACAATATTATCTAATATAGCAGAGCAATTAAATAAGTATCGAAAAAAATACTCTAATGTTTCTTCCAACATTTGTGTTACCTATGTGATTCATGAAGTAGGTGAAAAAAAATCTGACCGTAAGCTTAACTGTACACTACATTTTGGTAAACGAAATGAAATGATTATATTATTCTCAAGTACAGATGAATAAACTAACATAAAAATAGATGAAAATTAGTTAATTATTTTTGTCAGTCATCTCACAAACTAAAATAGTTTTGTAACTTTAATGTAAAGAATTATTTTTCTGATGATAATATTTATTTTTTCTTAATCGAATAGCTTATACAAATGCAATAAAAAATAACTATAAGTTACTACTACTACCTTTGAGTTTTTATTACTGGAATTTAAAAATAAGAAGTTTAATTAATTAATAAATTAAAGCCACATATGTTTTCAATGAGTGATTGGTGATCACAAAGTTAAAATGTTGACGATATTAGATATGAATACAACATTCAAAAATGTAATTAACATTCAAAGCTTAAATTTCAACAAAATTCGTCAAAATCAAGAATATTTGAAAAAAATATTTTATCATTAAATATTTATAAAATATTTAAAATCTACTGCAAGTGCTTAATAATAATTGATACAATGTTTTTCATAATTTTTCTTACAAACCTAAAAATCTCAAAAACACATTCGCACAATTTGTTTTTGTACACATTTCAAGTTCAACTGTTGATAAAATTAAACGAAAAATAACAATTTTAGTTGTTTTGTTTTAATTCCAAAAATATTATTTATAAGCAATTGAAACTTTTCACCATTACGTATAATATTATTATTAACTATACACAATACAATTTTCAAAATATTTTGATTTAGTTTAAGCTATTTACACCATTTTTTACTATTAAATTATAAGTTAATAACAGGTATTATAGCGGTAATATTTAATATTACGTAAATAAAGGTATAAGGTATATTATGTTAAATTAGGTAAATAAAATTATTTAAATAATATTATACACAATTAGTTTTTGGAAAAAAATTAGTTCAACCTACCTTACTACTAATTGAAAAATAATATGAACATGACTAGGAATATGATTAGAAGTATAATATGACCGCCAGACTGTTCCCGCTTAGAATCGTATTTTTATCGTATACAATAAGCCCATCAATACACAAATAATTATTCAATGGCGAGGTATACTCGACACCTATTATAATACAGCAAAGCGACTCCACTATTGTTTTCTTAAAATAATAGTTCGTTGCAATGGTTGGATACTAAAACTAAATTTTTGAAATTTTTAAGTCAAATGTATTAAAATTCAAAGATCAATAATTAAAATCATGGTTAGGTTTTTGTTTTGTGCATATTGTAATGTACGAGTCAGAATATTTTTAAGATTGAAAATTGGGACAGGCGTTGCGAAACACAGTTGAAATGGAAATTAATAGTTAACGACTTAAAATACAACTATCTGATAAGTACCCATTAAAATATATGAAAATACAAGTTCATAGTAAAGAAAAATAAAAATAAAATTTTATTTTCTCTTTAAAATATAATTTGTATTGCGATATCAGCGAAATTACATTCAGTTCTAACGTTATATTTTTCAGTATTAACCAGACGCCGCACTGCAAATAAAGCAACAAATTTACTTTCAAAATCACAAACATTTATATTTTAACTGCAGCACAAGCGTTTCAGAAAAAAAAATAAAAGTCAATTCCTTGTATAAACGACGTCTGCGAAACGTGAGGCAGAAAAATAATTTTCCATTCGAATGCACCCAGTTTTTATAGTTAGCAAATAATTTCGTATCGAGAGCATATTTTTAAAGGTTGCATTCGATTTGTACAAGTGCATTAAGTATTCATATTATCATGATGTTATACGGTGGACCAAGTAAAAAATTCTGAACTGCATTCAATTTTTGTTGTACAGTGTATTTAATTCTTAATGTAGATATTAAATGCATTATATTATAGTATTATGAATTCCTTTAATAGTTATAATATTTCCATACAAATTTCATAATAATTTCAGTACTTCACATTAAATTCTGTAAGGTTAGGTAAATCTTATTTAATAACTTTTTTAGTTCTTTATGAGTATTAAATTAATTTAGCGTAGGTACCTGTTTGTTAGTAAAAAGGGTGTTAGTTGATAAAAATTGCTGCGATTTACGGGTTAAACTTGTATTATGATAATTAGCTACTTTAAATATATTGTTTATTTTTATTACATTTTTGGCTATTTTTAATTTTACCAATATTCCTAGTTAAATATGGCCAAAAAATAAATAGTCCTTTATATTCCTTTAAATCAGACACTGCAGAGTACATCGGTATTGATTTATACAATTTTTATAATTTTTTATACTGTTATTTGTGTATATTCAATATTTTAAAATAATTCAATACATCGTATTATTTTTTTTTATTATTATTATTCACGGTACTGCATTAACTAGGTACCTTAGTTATACCTATATGTTATTGGCTTATAACAAACTAAATATTAGTTACATATTATTATCTAATATAGTAAATTCTTGAATATCCTTAGAGATAGAGACTGGCGATTCAATCTCGGCGCAGAATTATTTTTTCGAATTAATGATTCTATGGTTTATGAATGGATTCAAATTTAACACATCCACTACAATGGGGCCTATTATATAAGTTGACCTACTCAAAGTCGAGGTATACCCGAAAGTCGAATCACACTATTTTTAGCAAAGTGACTTACCCGATTTTCTTGCCCTACTAAATATGAAATATTTAAATAGTAATATACTAATGTTTTAAAGTTTAGTTCCAACTGCAGTACTTTGGATATTTTAAGATCATAAAATTGAATTGAGAAACGTGTTTCATTCGTTATCGCATAGTAATATTATGTACCTACTATCTAAATTGTCAATCGAAAATTCGAAAGGCAACCTCGGCGAGCAATAAATAAAAATAAGATAAACGTCTAAACGTATATAATATAATATAACATACCTACCTTCGGTTTATCAACTGATATATTATGAGTATCTGGCACCTGCTAAACACACTAAAATAAGAAATTTAACACGGGCTTTTGGAAATCCTAAACAGTTTTTAAATTAGTTTTAAACTTCCACTCAACTCTATAATAAAACTAAGTTATCCATATTGCAATTTATTGTTAAATAGATGCCCACTACGAATGTCAGATTGGCGATTCTGTTAGAAAATACTTTTCAAATTATATTTAAAATTCCTGGACAATATATTATGTACGAATGATCGGATATTTATATATTATTCATAATACTGAGGTAAGACTCGGTAAAATATTCATACATATTATTACCTATAACTAATAATTGTTTAATTGTTTTTACACCAACCTATGCGACAAATTCCTAAAAATTAAATCCAACAGTATTTTTATTTCAGTATAATATAGTCATTATAATAACACTGCACAGTTAAATTAATATCCGATCACATCTTACAATGATATATACCTACCTAATTTCTACTTTTAAGTAAAATTGTTTTGTATAGACGTCGTTGTACCTATAGGATATTCTAGCGAAAAGTCTTTAATAAATAAATGAGAAATATTAATTATTATTTTTACCTGTTACCAAAAAGTTATACTCACCAGTATAATATAATACCTATGCCTACTGCCTATATACCATATTGAATAAGTGAATATTATTATATTCTGTTACACTATTAGTTTGTATAATATAATATTATATACCGTATAGAAATATTAAAAACGCGCTTTTATTATTAAAACAGTTGCTGCGTATAATATAAATAATTTTACTCACTCTTATAGCTCATTGATTGCTTGGTCCTGACCATGTTGAGACTCGAGAGGTAAAGAAAATAAACCAAAGATCACCACTAATTTAATAGTATTATAACAGTGCGATGTGTAATACTGTTTATTGAAATTATTTAATATCCTGCACCTGCGTCGATACAGTGACGACGATTATAAGTACCTGCGCGTGGAACTGACGACACGATATTAAATTACCTACACATTATACCCGTGGCTGTCGGCGGTGTCACCGGTTCCGTTCCGACGACGTCGTCGGTTTTAACCGAGATAGGTACCTAAATTTAGTTTGCGATTTTAATGTAATTTCGACATTATCAGACGATTGACAGACACTATAGAGATTAACCGAGCGAGTACCTACGGCGCAACCAATATAGGTAGGTATACAATACAATAATAATATAATAATGATATCATATCAGCGTATAGATAATATTATACCGTATAATTATTAATTTCGATACTATATAGGATAATGTATAATGTATTAATGTAATAAGTAGATAGGTAAAAGTCCAGTCCAAGGTCCGTTATTATAGTGCGACGACTATTTATTAATTAATATTATATCATATTAATCATTATTTAGTTGAGCACATATTAGTATATTTTTTAAATTTTCGACTTCTCGTTTGTGCACAAAATTGTGAACAATGAAAACCGCCTTGTATGTACATTTTTGGGGTGTCTGTTAGCCGCGACGGATCTGGGTGGTGCTAGCCCCCGACATATTATTTCTCTAATTTTCATTGGGAAATTTACATATACATTGACCTAATAATTGACCGTTTTGGAAAAATCAACAATATGAAAAGACGTTTGGATTTTGTTATTTAGTTTATTATAATCATTAACTGCTTTATTACATTAAGATTAGGTATACTAATATCGGGAAAAAAATTAAGTGTATATTGTAATTGTATTTGTGTTGTAAACAATTTTTGACCCCCCCCCCCTCCCCCCAAAAAAAATGTATGAAAAATATTCATATAATATTATACCTAGAATCAATAATCAAAATGCCTATATAATACCTATATTAAATTTAATAAAATAGTTACCTATTTATTGTAGGTAAAAAAATATACTTAGGCACATAAACCTTATTTTTATTTTTTCTTAGGACTAAATTTAACAAGTTAATTAACACGTGCATATCTTAATTAATAAATAAAAAATTTAATATTTAATTTAAACAAAACAATATCAAAAGGAACATAAATATTAAATAGTATGTTTCTCTTAGGAATTAGGGCTTCGTTGCAGATAAATAGTTTTTTTTAATGCATAGATAATATAAATTAACAAAATTAAATATAATTAAAAAAAACTATCAATATGATCATAAATCATACTTCCCCTGTGACCACACTGCACTGCAAAATGTTAAATGTATAATGAGTTACGAGGCTCATCAGGCCAACAATTATTATCAATATTGTCTTAACTAAAAAAATACACTTATAAATACTGAAAAAAATAAAATTATAAATCTTCGAAAATAAATAATTACTTTTAAGTTTTAACTGAGGAGAATTAAGTTTGATTAAGCTTCAATACCTCAGAGTACCAGCATACTGTTTGAAGAATTAGTTATAAGTGCAATCAGAGGTAGAGGAATTGAGTCCACCTGAAGCCTGCGTCCCTCCACTTTAACCCCTGATGAAATCATGTGCACGGACACAACGAATATGTGCCTACCTATAAGAGCGTTATCACAGAAGTTCTGAGAGCAAAAGGTTTAATAAAAATTGTTTTGTCAATAATTTCATTTGAAAAATGTTTACTAAAATATTTGCTCCTATCGCTAACCGACTAACCGACTTTTTCAACTGTTTCTACTACCTACCTTTGATTATAGTACTATACATTTTCGTTTTGACGATGAACAAACTTCATATTATTTATAGAATATTAGTGTAGGTACCTACCTAATAGTGTATACATACTATACCTAGTGTACCTAACCTAGTAACCTATATGGCTATATACTATGTAGACAAGTGAGCGGTACAAGTAGTATCAATAGACAATCAACAAACTGTTTGCTATCGTTACCTCCGCGAAAACACGTAGGTACTAAGTAGTATATATCTATTATATTATTGTGGATTAGTAGGCCTCATCGGGATTTTCGTTCAACGAAATATTAAGATTAATTAAAATTCTACCTCTTATTAAGGATATTTAGGTAAATAAATTTTCATAGTAGGTACCTAGTTTAAAATAAAAAAAGCTGTAAACCTACCAAGGTATCAAACATTATTAGGCGTAGGTACCTATTGATTTTTATGCGTAATTACGACACATTACAGACTAACTACAGCTTCGCGTGACCTGCCAAAGACGCGTGCACGGCTGAATAATATTATTATTTATTCAAATGATAGGTACCTACCTACCAACTCTTTTAGATGCGTTATTAGACTGACATCTAACCTAATTTTCAAACGATATAGACAGCTACGCACGTCTAGGTAAAATCGGCATTATAAATTATAATGTATTGTTTTTGATTATCGGTTGACTATAAAGGTTAGGTTAGATTGATTGATTTATACAGCAATGGAGCAAACGAGACGAAAAATATTGTAATATATGGGCTTTCTTAAAACATAAGGTACCTAATTTACTATATGGCAGTATACTATGTACAGACTACAGTAGTTAAAAGTTAAATCTAAATATTATTTTTTTCATTTAATCACTCTAAATGTTATTATTTAAAAAAAATTGAGTTTCATAATCACTACAACATGTGCAGAAGGTAACCAAGTTGCAAATAGGTAGTTAAAAATAAAATAATAAAGTTAATTTTATCCGAGTGACATTTATATTTTTCTCCACATTACCTTTAAGCTTTACAAATATTGTTTTTAAGCTATTAACTAACTTACAGCTAACGTTCAGCGTTCTTAGCATTGACTTAACTTTACTGTTAGTACTTAAGACAATAAGACCTAGCTCAAATTAATGGTTTTCACTAACCTTTGTACAATAAATTATACCTAACTACCAATTATTGATCAAAACTATATTTAATGTGTACGCATATGTGGTTTATATGTAATTTATACAATAAGATTGATGATGACGTGTCAGTTTTAAATTGATGGTTAACAGTTGACACAGAAAGGTACCAGCTAGTATATCCACCGCGTATAATAATCGTACACTGTATTCAATCGTTTCAATCCATTGTTAAATACTGTAATGCGCATGTATATCGTACCTGTCGAGATCGAGAACAAAATAAACTCATCTAAGTACGCTAAATCCTAAACTTATATTTATGTTGAAAAAATAAAATAAACTCAATGGATAATAATTTACGACGCACAAGTACGCATCGTGTCTGTTTGAAAAAGCGCGGGACTGTGCACGAGCGACGCCATCTCCACGCCTATCATAATATCGTTGACAATGAATAATTTATTGTTGTGGTGCGCGACACGATCCATACCGTTTAGTGTTTACTTTTATCAAAATACCTACTATCATAATGTCGTTTAAATTGTTTGCTTTTAGATAATAATAAATAACGTTTTGATGTTTGGGTGACGGATAATAATAATAATAATAATATGTACTAATTAATCATTGTCGTTCACTCGGTCAGTTTATATTTTATTTTATTTATCGACACTCACAAACACACACTCACACACACACACACCCACACACACTCACTCACTCGCACACCGTCGTCGGCATTAATTATTGTCTCGTGTGCAGCCAGAGATCATTCGACGACGTTCGTAGTTCAGAAGCTAAGTGATTGCCCATCTGCTTTGTGTACCACATTTGAAACGAACCGATAAACGACGGGCACCATGAACGATTACACAGCCAAGGACTTGAGTGACAATGAACCGGAAGACCATGAAGACAGCGACAAACGTGCATTTGATGAGATGAACAGTCAAGTGAGTTTTGCATACCCACTTACATGTTTCATTTTTATAACTTAATTTGTATTTATATCTACTAGTGTTGTTTAGCTGAAACTTGTACTCACATCATTGTATTACCTTGTTAAAGAGTTTTATGCCTACCCATTTATTCATACAAATAAAATAAATAATAACTATTCTAACGATAGGTAATATCAACCCATGTCGATAATATTATTAGGCTATTCCATATTCATTTGAGTGTGCCTTACTGCCATGTGACCATTATCTCGTAGACTTGCCCTCGTATCAGTCTTATGCCGTGCAGCGAATCATTTGTATTATAACACCAGCTAATATGTTATTCTGATATTGAATCTCAGAAATTGTTTCCGCTCAGGCGCTCAAAGTCCCAACGTTCAGCATAGGCTATGAAAATATATTGAGTAAACGACTGAAGTATGACTACCTAATTTAGGTACTTATAAGTTAAAATACAACATTCGATAATGATGATTGATGTAAATTTGTGCCGATCAAACTTATCCAGAAACCGGTGTTTCTAGATAGGTTTAGATGGATCATAACGTCTTTAATTTTCTCCTAATGTAATATAAAATTAATTACCCATTTATATAATGCAGATAACAAAATTCTTCAACTAATATTTATGTTTTATATAGGTATTTTTTAATTTTTTTTTATTTTGCATTATAAGTAATGCATATTTACATTACAATTATTTTTACCTACCTAAAAGAAGAGTTTTCTAGACTGAATACGCTTAACACATTCACTGCGTCAAATAATTAGTTGGGACACGTTAGATGCGTCACAAAATATATCAATGTTCGCTAGGAGCGTGCCACCAATTCGGACATTTTAATTAGTGTCGGAAAAATCAACAAAATATGTTATTTATAAATGGATTGGACTGAAATAACGAAAAAATTTCTATGCATAGGTGTGTGTAAAAAAAAAACATTACTCTAGTGCGTCTCTATTTTATAGCACATTTAATTCAACGGACTTGATGTCGGCTGTATCCGACAGGCGCACCGTTCACATACCTACAAGTCGGCTATATCCGACAGACGCACCGTGAAAAAACCGATCCGTCGGATATAGCCGACAAAAGCACCGAATGTGTTAATTTTTTTAAATTTTACTTAATACAGTAGGTACCTAAAACATTATGCTGAGCATTTTAAAGCATGATAACACAATCATATGTAGGTACATCCTTATTCAATATATGTATTTTTTTTACAGAAAAATGTATATGTCCTATATTTTGTACCTATTACTTACCTGATTATTGAATTACATTTTCATGTATTGTATATTATGTTTCAGATTCAACTTGTTCTACAAGATATGAAAGACAAATTCCAAACTATGTCTGATCAAATATTGTCTAGAAATATCCTTTTTCAACTACAACTTAAATATGAATATAATAATATTATATTATATTATAATATTATAATATTAGATTTTAACTTTAAATTAAACTTAATTAAAATTGTGCTAATATTTCTTAACTAAAAAATACTAGATGATATGGGTGCACGTATCGATGATTTAGAGAAGAATATTTCTGACTTGATGATCCACGCTGGTCTCGAAACTCCAGACAAATGATATTTAGAATACTATCGTATTACAAGAAATGAATAGGTCACTTAATATTAACAAGATTATATATATATATAAACTTAGGACCTACATAATTATTTGAAATATGATTAAAATTAAAACAAGGTAAACTTAAGTGTATCATTGTCTATAAGTATCTCTATACTCTGTCTAGCGAGAAAACAAACTGCATTCAGATGAAAATTGGTTCTTCTGTGCATCCCCGCCCATCAACCTACTATGGTGAAACTGGTTTCGAAGGCGGTTGTCGATTCAAGATGCACAGAATTGCCTTGTTTTCTTGCTCGACAGAGTGTATTATATATTATATTAATACCTATATATTATATTATGTGTATTTTGTTTTTTTATATACTATCTATCAGTCTTCTTTTATAAGTATAAAACTTAAATATAAAATTACTTAAATGATAGATCCATACTAGTTCTATATCCTTACTCTATTCAGCTTATGAGACAGTTAGTCAGACAAATTTAAATGCGTTGAAACTGCGCATCTATTTCCAATACCAGGTACGCACAAACAGAGCTGTCTCTACTCTAAACTGAATAGACCTATAATTATATTCTTTCCAATAGTTGAATTTATTCAACTCATATTGACCAATGTTTAACTTATTAAAGCTAAAAACAGCTCAAATCTGTAAATTATTTTTAAGGAATTTTTCACTCATTAGTAAATATTAGTATTTCTTTGTATGTTGAATATAATTTACCTTATACACAGATTAATTTATTCAACTTTACAATTACAGTTTTCTTTTCTTACAAAAATTTTATACTTTTATTTTAAATACACATTGTAGTATTTAGAGATATTAATTATTATATCAAGAGTAATTAATACCAACTGTTTTTAAGTTCAATAAAGGACATTTTCTAACTCAATACATGTGAATATGTAAGTAATATGTAATAATTAAAAGAGATGTGATGCACTTACATGTTAATATGTAATATTTTTTGGTTTTTATTAGATGCATATACTTTGATTTTTTTTATTCAATTTTGTAAGATCATTAAAAATTCTTCATTTTTTCATTTTAAAAATAAAATTTAAAGAAAAGTTTTGAGTTGAAATTGAAAATGTTTCATTATCAATTTCACTAAACTCCATAATGAGTTTAATTAAATTTCAGTTTTTACATCAATACATTAAACAAAATATAGGAATTTTTCATAACATAATCTATTTCATTACTTAATCTTCTTTATGTTTTCAAAATATATGAATATTATAGCTTAATCAATCTCATTACAACATTGTACAATGACTGAGAATCATTAAGCATTTTTTTTAAGAGCTATAGGTATGTTATAAAATTTAATTTAAGTAAACCTCTGCTACTCATCAAGTACAGTGGCCATTTTTGATAACTGTATTTACATGACAATAGGTCTGTAGTTTTAATTCTAATAAGTAGGTATTTTAGTGTATGTTAATTGGTAGAAATATTACATTTTTAGTTGTTTTTAAACAATTTCTGCATATTATTATATTTCTGTTATTAGAATAAACAAAATTGTACGAATCAACAGTCTTTATTTAAATAAACTACCTATATGTAAAAAATATTATATTTGGCTCCTAATTTATTTGTAAAAAAAATGTCATGAAGAGTTTTTCTAGATAAGTATAATGAAAAATATATATAATTTTTGTGTTGTCTAATTTACATTATAATTATATGAGTAGTTTAAATTACACAATTTTATTTTGTATGCAAATTGTGTGGTTGAACATTTGAACATAATATGACATCATTGAAATTCTATATTATTAATGTAGTCAATAATGCAGAACGTATTATCTAATTAAGTTTATTAAATAATAAACAATAATAATAATAACATTTAATTTAATTTTAAGCGCATGTGTTTGATTTTAATAATATCATATAAGACAGAGTTTATAATGTTATGCTTTGTCATTATCTTTATATACTTATTATATGTATTTGTTACAGTTGATTACTATTACATTTATCCTTATATTGAATAAAACCCATACATATTATACTTCTTGTAGTAATAATTAGTATTTAACAGAATATTTTTAAACTTTACTAATTTCTTAACAAAATATGACATACATTAGAAAAAATGTAAAAATACAATTTTATATGAACTGTGACTATATTCATTAAAAAAAAAAAACCAGTAAATATAAAATCAAATATTAATTTTAATTTTTTAATTTAATAACAATTCGTAAAATTAAATGAATGCAAGGCAGATAAGTTCATTTCCATTTTATTCAGTTATAATAAAATAATATTTTAAATCTAATCTCACTTTGATGCATCACAGTCCACTATGAAATAATGTGTTTCAATTTAAGAGGACGCTACACATGTGTTGTCTCAGTCTTAAAAATGTAAAACAGCAAAAACTGTTTTGAGCGAGTAAGAACCACTCGGGGCGTAATTCAATTTAAGCATCCATATGTTTACACTCTAAGGAGAAAAATATTTATTGTGCATTGTTTTTATTTTTTTGATATCACTAATATGAAAAAAGTTCTCGTGGTTTAAAAATTCATTTTTTTTAGTTATTCAAATTTCAATATCTTTTTTTTAGTTCTGATATTGAAAAAATAAAAACAACGTTGCACAGTAAATGTTCCCCTCTTTATAGTGTTAAAATTTGGTTGCTAGGCTTGGACTACAGCCCGAGTGGTTCTTAACAGGGCTAAATCGTTTTTGTTATGTATTACATTTAAACTGACACACATTGTTTTATAGTTGACTGCAAAGCATCAACGTGTTATAAGATTTAAATATTTTTTTTATTATAACTTAATACAATGGCAATTCACGTTTGCTGTCTTGATTTCATTTTAATTTAAAATAATGCGAGCCAGGGTTTCTTAAAGTTGTACGGTTACTAGCAAATGATAATATTATAAAATACAGGAATGTAATTGTACATCTAGAGTAATGAAAGGGTTAAATATTTTCATTTCAATATTCAAACAAAATATTATTTTTTTTATGGAATAATTTAAATTAGATTTTTTTGTGGAATACTTTTTTAAACATTTTCCATTCAAGATGGTACATTTAGTATTAATAAATTACCTATGTTAACTTCAAAATGTAGGGACTAACCCATATTTTTTTTAGAATTCATTGGTTGTGTAATTAGGAATTCTCAATTGTTATTCAGTTAAATTATTAAATAATAAATAGTACCTAATGCTAGAATCTCATAAAAAAATTATGGTATAATTGTTTTAGGTACTACTTTTAAATTTATTTAAAACGATAACATAATATACTTAAATTAGAATTTTTCAAGTCTTAGTTTAACTGAAAAAAAAATTATTGTACAGTGGTTTTTTTTTAATGTCATGATTCATGATAAAAGTACTGTGGTGACCCAACTATAACGTACCTTGGGGGTCCCAGTCTAAGTACACCACTGAATATTATATATTTTAAATTAGCAAAAACCTTTTATTATGCAATTTGTGTTAGGTAATTACTAATTACAATCACTTTTCAAATGCATATATTTAAATATTAATTTATCTTGTTATATAAATAGAAAACTAAAAATTTAATTATCATTATTATTGTACTGCATAGAAAATGCATCACATTATGCATCACATTATACTCTCATTATGTAAGTACGGTTTAGGTTAGACAGATATTGACAGTCAATAGTCAAAAATGTCTGTACAAATGTACAATAATATAATAATTTACTAATAGTATACAATAAGTTAAATGAACACAAAATTGTTATGTTAGAAGTTAATATCAAAAAACAATATTAACTCAACTCTGTTTAAAAAATGTTCATTTGATTTTTTAATTAGTACGTGGATCATATACAGAGTATTATATGTCTTTAATCTAAGTATGATATTATTCTAAAAGAAAGATGAGAAATTAAAGTATTATACCTATACCTTTTACTATTTTTATATAATTAGATTATTTTTATTTAAAAACTGTGTATAGCAAAGTTATTTCAACAGTAAATTAAACCGATAAAGTAAGTTCTTAAGTTAATTAGAAAATAAAATACCTAGCTAGTTAAAAAGTTAAAAATAAATTAACTTTTCAACTAGTTGAACCTACCTTTGGAAATAATAATTTGGCTTATCACTTCTGTTTTCTGTATAGTGGGATAAAAGTTTTGACCCCCTCATATGGCAATATAGGTATTAGGTAGGTGACCGAAAAAACGGTTTGGTTTGCTCACCCGCTATATTCCTCTTACTTTTTTTCATCTGAATAGAATTACCATCTAACATAATCAATGTAATTTGTACTGTTATAGGCAAAATTAGCATAAATATAATATTGCTAAAAAAAAAAAAACATGACAAGCTATAAATAAATAAATTCCTACCCCAATCTCAGGGGCATTCAATTAACATTGGTCTACAGAGGTGGAACAAATTAAATTAAAATAGGTACTAAACACGACTGCCAAAATTTTAGGTACTGAAATAGGGAAAAATAAAAAGGTTTCTAAGAAATCACGGATAAATTTAAGAGCGATTGTTTTCTTAATAATATTATTAATTATTATGTAATAATAAAAAATATATTTGCAAAAGTCCCTATTATATATTTAGCCAGGGTCCCACTGGTTAAGGTACATAGATGGTTAATAGGTATAGTTAAAAACAATAAACTGAACAAATGGGCGGTAGTAATCAAAATAATATCAATTATTACATGGCCATATACATTAGGGTGGATCGAATTAATATAAAAAAAAAAAATTTTTTTTTGCGAAATCTAATAGTACTTAAAAGTTGTGTTTTATACTCAATTAAGTGTATACAAAACATGAAAATGATTCGACTAATTTTAGAGGTGCCGCGACTTACTTCTTTTTAATTATTATTTCTACATTAGTTAGCATCTCCAAAAATTAAACATTTTAATTTATTTCTGGTCAAAACACAAGCCATTTTCACGAATATTTAAAGAACAAACTCAAACACAATAAACTTTATACGACTCCGTACGAATATACAGCGATACTGAATGTGAAATCGAGTTTGTAAATTGAACTAATGGTGAAAAATGTCACATTAAGATAAGATAGGACAACGCATAAATAGAATAACCCAATAAACCAAGCATAATTTACATGCTTACGATACAAAAATCAAAAACATTTTGTTATCAAGTCTTGAACTAACTGCTTTTCAGATTACCATTCTATAATTTAACATAGAATGATAATCTATAATTTTGTGATATAGTGATTCATAATATATTCAATAACTTTAAAATTAAAACCATGAAAATCAAACATTAATTTACTTTTATAAAACTATTCTTATTAAATATTTAAATTATTTGGGCATACTAATATCAAACAAGTTTGAATTCAAAACATTTAAAAAAAATAATACACAAACACAGCATAGACTTGTAAAATAATCAACATTTTTTTTATTATTATTTTATTTTCTCTTCACTAATTTATTTGACGATTATATACATAATTAAATAAAATAATAATAAAAATAATATGGAAGATAAAAAAATAATAATAATACAGATTTAAAAAAAGTGGTATTTGATTTAGTGTAATATGTATATTATATAATGTTTCAAAACAATTTTAATTCAATATAATATAATGAAGTACAACATATATTTGGTGGAACGCAGTTTATAGTTTATCTCGCATAGCATTTTAACTGTACATATTGTTATTATATGTATTGCAATAACCTCACTCATATGAGAAACAATTATGACAATATATATATGTACATGAGAGATTCTAAACGCAATTAGCCTACAGTTATATCACATAATATTATCTTTTTATAAAGCAGTTCGTTCATCGTAAACAATCACTGCTTCATTGTCAACCAATATATCTGTGTCTTTGTTGTTGAGGAACTGGCTCCTGGATTTACTCATAGCAATTATGGCAGCTTCATCGTTTCTCATGCGATTTTTCCTTTTTTTACTAAAATTTACCTAAAAAACCCATTTCAAATCAATAATTACTCAATATAATCAGTATATCTCTAAGAAAAAACACTTATATAAAACATGATGCTATATAACCAATACCCTTATTTGTGCAATTTTAAAATATTTTATTTTGAAAGTAGTTGACATCTAAGAAGCACAAAACACAAAAAAATGTTTTCTTTAAATTAATATTAAATATTAAATTATTGTAGTTAGAACTAAGGAATTGGAAACTAAAGGATTTGGTCAAAATTAAATATTAAAAAAATATTATTTAATGAGATATTAGGATATTTAAAATGGCCGGGTTGACATAATTGGCCCCGACCCGATATAAATTCCTATCTTACACGTATGTAAAAGTTGCTCACTTCTTTACACAATGATTTACCCATCTAAACATTTTAGTTTTGATGTTTGATTTACATGTAAATGTTAATTTTTATGCTTAGTTAGATAAAAGTATTAGAATTTTAATTGAATATTTTGTTTTTTTAACATTAAAAATACTAAAAGGGATAATGGCCAGTTGAGCAATGTTGTTTTGTAACAAAAATTACTAATATATGATTTTAAATATTAAAAAATAAACTTTACACTTTAGACAAAATCTGGTGCCACTAATATCTTTAATGACATTGCATAAAAACAAATCACATACATACAATAAAAATTCAAAAATAATCTTTAAAGGTAAGTCAATTATTGAATGAAGCAAGCAGCTTTTTCACAAGACAGGCAATTACGGCAAGCCCGGGCCCCATGATGTCACACTTTTTTATTAAATTCCATTGAACAATGTGAGTAGAAAAATTAAACTTATACAATTTTTTATTAGAATTGAACATTATTTCAAATTAAAAAACGTATTTTTTGAGTTTTGTTCTTCTTTAATACATTGTAATATTATATCACTCAATTTGTATCAATAATTAGTTTACACTAAAAAAATAATGTAGTCTAACTCTCAAGTATTTAAAATGTACAAAACTTGTGATATGTTAGCAGCACGTTTTTCTATAAAAATTAAAAATACCTTAGCATAAAGCTCTGATAAATTGTCAGATGTTGAGAATGGCCGTTTCTTGTTTCTCACATGTGTAGGAAGACTTCTTGTTCGCAGTGTTATAGATTTTCCATCACATGTATGGCAATTTTCCAAAACTAAATAAAATGTAATTTTAATTAGTTGTTTATTTTTGAAACCACTATGTCTATGTTTATATTGAAGTTTTGTAGATATAAAACTTATTTAAAGATGTATTATGAAAAAAATAAGTTGTCTATTTTGAATTGAACATCAATAGAAGACAATATATCTTAACAATGTTAATGATTTTAAATTACATTTAAATATGTGGTATTATCCAAATACACTCTGCGTATAAAGGGATAAATATATTACATACATAGCACAATATTTTATTATGTTTTATTTTTTGTGTTGGTATCTATTTTTTCTTTGAAACAGTCGACAGGACGTATTTTGGCGTGGCGACACAGACTATGCTTTGATAATTCTAGTGGAACTCAATGTGTTAAGAAGATGCTACACAACTACACTTGTAAGTGAATAACTTTATATTTAAGCTAAAAAACTAAAAGTGAACTGATGAATGTAAATTTGTTATGTTATGCATATATAAATAGGATACATCAATGAGATGAAGGTCCTTGTATTCAAATGTAATATGAAATTAATAATCATACAATAAATGTATGATAAAAGAAAAATGGCAGAGAAGCTAAATTATATTATTATTATTATTATTTAGCTATAGTAAGTTAAAAACATTTCAGTTAACAAACATAATACTTACTGCTGCTGGAAGTAAATTGATGAGGATTAAATTCAGAGATCTGAGGTACAGCGTTTGGCAAATGGCAAGGGTCATTTTGTGTCTCATTGTCAATATAATGCAAATTAGGTACGTCAAATGTTTCATTGCTAATAAATTCTTTTATTTCACGTATACAAGGATCCTGAAATAAAGTAAATTGTTATTTTATTAGTCTTAAAAAATCCATCAATAAACATACAAATGACTGAAGTTGTTTTGCTGGTGGTACGGAGGCTGAACGTGGTACTGTATTCGTATTTACAGGTTCATCTCCTTGATCATTGAAAAACCAATGATCGGGAGAACCTTCTCTTTCAGGAAACAACTCAACGATACGGTTACTATATATAAAACTTCCAGTTTTGGGGTCTAGGAATACAGTGGAGTAACTGAAAAATAAAAAAATTGATTAGTTTAAAATGACATGTTCCTATTTAACAATTGTTTATAAAATTAAATTTGCATTATTTTCTTATAGGTAAAATTGTAAATTCAAATATAATAGAACATATTTTTTACAATGAAACTATAATTAACTACATTTTTTTGTAACTATACTCATAAATAAATAATTAAATATATTACCTACTGATTAAAAATTCTTCAGTAAAATGAACTATTAAGGGCTTATTTGAGTTGAAAATTGAAAAAATGGTGCTATGAATCTTAAGTAAATTCCATGACAATTTTGATTATGTTTAAAAATTTTTATTAGTGAAAAGACAAAAAATTGGAATGTTTTTAATAAAAAAAACTGTCAGTACCAAATCTTCTTGGGGTTTTCAAAATACAATTAATTTCATTAGAATATTTTTCAATAACTAAACATGATTTACATTTTAAACATTTTGAAGAGCTATAAGGTAAATTTTAAGAAAAAAAATCTCTGTATAATGAAAATTGTTTATAACTATTTAAAAGACATGTAGTTTATTTTTATATGTATTTTAGTATATGTTAATAGGCAGAAGTGTTGGATTTAAAATGTTTGACAAAAATGTATTATGTTATAATCAATATCTGCTGTGTTTAATTTCTTATATAATAGTTAATCACAATATTATATTGACTATTACCTATGTTTCCGTTTTTAGTGTAAAATAACACATTTAACTATAGGGACTCAGAGTTCCATAGTTCATAAAATATACCATAAAACTGTTGTAGTGTTAAAAACTATAAAGTTATACTATTGGTAACTTATGCCTAATATGCCTATTATAAAATGTTTTTAAAACATATTTAAAATTACCTAGGTATGTTGGTATTACTTCTTTGTTCTTCTTCATCACAACTGTTTTGTACTAAATAAAAAAAAATATTAGATTATCAAAATGCACAACATAAATAAAATAAACAATATGCTTACCATTTTTTATTTTACAAAAACAACAATACCAAATTAAAAACACAATAGTTATTGAAGTAAGTACTATAATGACAATAGCACATGCTATAACAATTGACAATTGATCTTTGTCCACTTGCCATCCCAAAACATCCAAGGTCCAATCGAAACCTCCCGAAATATCCTGCAGAACAAAAATATTATAAATTTTATGAAATGTGTTATTTTTTTTATTGTCATTAATTTTAAATAAAATATGTTAAAAATTCTCTATATACATATTTTATTCAAAATATATTTTTTTAGACAGTTACACAAATAATAATTAAATTAGCTCGTTAGTCACTAAACGATGCTTAAATAATTTAAATTGACTCTCATTAATCTTAGAATTAACATGAGTATTAAGGTTAAAAAAATCAACAAAATATATTTTGATTAATTTCTTTTTTCACAAATTTAAATAATCTGATAAAACATACAGGAGGCCACATTTTTGCTGTCAATGTAGTAGATTGTTGAAATACATTTCCGCGTGTGTTTTCTTCAGAACTTGGCGGTATGAGATCATCTAGAAATAAAATATAAATTTTATAAAATGTAATAGAACAAATAAAAACTAAAAACTAGTATATTAGTACCAATAGTACCTATGTGTAACATAACACAATTAAAATAACTGCCACCATTAGAATTAAATATATTTTACAACTGTATAAGATACTATAGATATTATAGTCTTATTCACTATTCTAACGTTTAATTTTTATTGACAAAAATAATTCATGGGACAGCACTCACTGGAATATTTTCAATATGCTAGGTATACTTTTAAAACTTTTAAAATCTAAAACAAATGTGAACACAAAATATGAAATGTCTTAAATGTATTTTAGAAAATATACCTTCTTCACTATTGTAATTTGTCTATTTAGGTATTATATAATTCACTATTATTGTTATTACCGAAATATATTATTATTATTATATTATTATTAGCCTACCTACAACTTTATTAACAAATAAAAATAATGTCTGTATTATTCGTTTCGCAAAAAATAAATGATAAATATCAAAAGCAGATATTTACCTATAAATACATTTTAATTTTTTACCTTTTACAGTATGGTATGTTTTTTTTTTGTAAATTTTAAATTTTAATGCCAACATTTATATCTAAAATAGATTTAATTTAAAAATAAATAGAAAACTTTTTTACTTCAAACATAAACAAACAAAGAAATTCTAAATAAATAAACAAATTAATAGTTTATTAGTAAAAATTCCAACAAAAAACTAAAGGTGTTCTAATTACACTAAAGTAAAATAAATATATTATTTTTATAAATGAATAAATGAACTGAGCCCTCTAGCACCAACTTTTAATATTGTTTATGTAATCAATTAATGGTATAATAATGTCATCATATCTATAAATTACACACTAAAAAAGGTTTACTTGTGTAAAAGAACCTTGTGTACATTTAACAGTAAAAAAACCAATAGTAAAATTACAAACTGAACCTACCTATGTAAGATAATAAAATTGAACTTCAAGAGAATGTATAAATATTATATAGCAATAGTCCTTTCAAGATTACACTTTACTATAGGTAGAACATTCAATTTACATTATTGATGAGATAGGATAAATTGAAATTGTAAATATTTAAAAAGCATAGATTTATAGCTAATAAAAAACTTTTTGTAAGGAATTGATTACATTTTTTAAGATCAACACATTTCAATATACATTTGCATGAGCATAGATGTTAAAAATGTTCAAATACAATATAATACTAGGTACATGGCAACTATCTACCTATAATCATGATATAATTTATATTATAAATACTTAATTACCTAGTAATTTTCCAATTAAAATTGTTTTATTTGTTGTACTAAGAAAAAAATCAGATGCCTTATTTTAAATAAAAACTGATAGGCACCTACCTATATTATATTTATTTTGTAAACATTTTTTGCCGTTTAATATTGGTATACCTAGGAGACAAATGTGTATGGAAATAACACTCTAACATAATTTAAAGGTTCATTGGAACTTTTTGGAAGTCTAAAGTGTGGTTAGAAATAGCCAACAAGTGTAGGAATCGAGCTAGGAATGGTTCAACTGTTCTTTTAAAATCACAGCAAAATCTTAAAGATATTACCTAAATTATGAAAATTCATAAATGCTAGAATTAATATCAACTTCTAGAACAAACATTTTCAGTCTGATTATTATGAACAGTAAGTACCTAAACCTAATAAATTATTTGACAACAATCTTAGGCATTTTATTTTTATAAATTATTAATTTCAAATGTTTAAAAATCTGTCAAAATACAATCTATACCACAAGACAACATCAATTTTAACTAAAAAAAGTTACATGGGTACCTAACTGAGTTAAATCAATTTCAAACTTTTCAAAACACAATAATTTATGTACCTATCCAAATAAGCTAGATACTTACAAAAACTTTCTGTTTTAACCAAAGCATATAAAAACCTGTTTTTAAATCTCACTTTATGACATTTATTTTCTAAACCAGTTGGACAAGTGTTGTTTGTCATTCACTTGTAAACATACAATGATTATATTAGGTATTATCATTATTATAGATATTAATATACCAATTATAGTACATTTATTTTGACTTTGGATAAGCAATTTATCAATTGTATAGATAATTATATATAATTAAGATATTATAGTAAGTGCAATTTAAAGTAAATTTTAAAATGTATTCTTTGGTAATATATTGTTAAAACTTACAAGCCATATAACAATATACTATTGTAACCACTATCTGCCTATCACACAGCAAAAGAAACTAATATTGTGATACTTCTATATTCTTTAACGATGATAAAAAAAAAAACAACAAATAATAATATTCAGCGAGTCGTCTAATAAGAGCGTTTCGGCTGTATAGAAACAAAACATGACGTCGACCGAGAAGTATAATATGATACCCGGCAGCCAGTAGATAGCTACGCACCCGCACGGGACAAACGTAGCGAATCGCACGGAGGTGTCCGCACAGTAGAATGTTATCGTATAGGTCGTACCTTGTTCGGTGACGGTGGAGTCCGGACCACACGATCCCCAGAGTCTGCCACGGCGATGAGAGCACCTGTACCAGGGTCGGTACCTACCCAAAGCAGTGTTGCGGTACAATGATTACGGGCGGCGAACCTTTGTCGCCGAGGAAAAACCGTGTAAGTCGCGTAGGGGACACTACCGCCGATGATCGCCGCAACAGTTGTTGACGACCGATTTTTACCGATTCAATGACATATTTTTTTAAACATCATTCGCGCTCGATTCCGTCCGCAAAGTGGTCGCCCGATGTGTCATTGTAAGATGTGAGTGAGTGTGTGTGTGAGTGTGCGTTATCACTAAATAATGTTATTGTTGATTTCCGCGTTGAAAACGATAACGTCCGTCGTAGTTGTTGTAGTGATTATGCGTAGTGAAGGTCGCGCGAAGTGTATTCATCTTCGTCGGCGGCGGCAGCTACGTTCACACATACCATAACGCGTCTTCGCTTCCGCTTTTCGATAGAGATTTATATTTTTGTTTTGTGAACTTTTCTAAAATTTTCCAATATTGGGCTTTGACGTAAATCGAAAATATTCAGTTAAAAAAAAAAAAAAACTGTAGGTATCCAACTGAAAAATGTCAAGTTGGGTAGGTACTAGGTAGGTACTTTTTTTCGATATTCAACTTCTGACTTCAACAGGTTAAAAAGTATCTAACTTTCAACTTCAAACTTATACCTTAACACATATAGCCATATAGGCGTAATTTCGGGGTAGTGCAAGGGGTTTGTCCAAGTGTCTATAATATTATATTTTAAATTATAAAACATTATTTTTAATCTATTGAAGCATATTACTATCATTAAGTACCTACCTATATTATATTATTACGAACCTACAAATTAAGATTAAATAGTTTTTAATTTTTATAATATAAACATTATATTTTAACATTTTTGTGATTGTACGATAGGTAGATAATTTCTAAAATATAGCATTATTTTAATGGAGTATTAGTTATGGAAAATTCACAAAAATAATTTATATAGCATATTAAAAATATGTTTGAGTAAATAATTACTACCCCACGCACGTCACCAAAGGTTACCTTATAAAGTTTACTTCTTTCGAATAAACAAAAAATGATTAAACTATTCTACGGGGCATGATCATTTAGCTGAAAAATCATTTTGAATGGTTAGATGTCATTTTCCTATCGTATAATATGGCCCAGCGACACGTAACTAAAAATTGACTGCATTTGTATTACCTTTTCCCAGCCAAGCGTATATAGTATTATAAAATAAAATTCTCGAATATGTGCACAAGACGCGTAAAAATACTTAAGCAAACTTACGTTTTTAGCAGAACTCCAAGCCTCGATATTGTAAAATTGTTCATTGACTCATGAGTGCGGTCATTGGTCATCGATTTTAAATTTAATATATCACGATGTCGAGAAAAGTAGAAGATAGGTAATAATCTGTGTGCACGACACAAATATGATTTGCGGAATAAAAATCCTCGAGAAAAAAACCCCTATGAACCAACGGAAAATAATCTCCGACCATAGGAAAAATATCCCCAGACTATAATATTACTCACAAGTCACAAAAATGAAAATGATTGAACAAATATTTTTTAAACGATATAATTACTATAATTTCCACATTGTTTATAATATTAAATTACAATTATTATATATACCTACACCTACTTATGGTATGTATAGCCCGATAGCCGTATTATATGTATAGGTAGGTACTTATCATTAAAACAATTAATATATAATAACAATTTTCAAACACTAACAATAATATTTTGTTTTTTTATCATGATTTGAAACAACATAATAATATGTTAATAATGATTCTTTTAAAATAATAGGTACCTACTCATTAACAATTGTTTTATAATTATTTAATTTTTATAATTATTATTTTTTGTTTCATTTGATGTATCCGTCATTCGGAATATTTAAATTTTTATTTATAATCTAGTATCTACTAGTGAAATTTAAATAAATATTCCTATAACAATATTATCATTGTGACATGGTCGCGAGTAAAAGTCGATAAACTAACCTGAGTGGATAGATTTCAATGAAGATTTATTCTTTTTTTGTAACTCCTTTTTTAATAGATAATTAATTAAATTTCCATTCCACATAAAAAATATTAGACAAGGTTAGGTTAGGTTATACTTCTAATAATTTATGTAATATTAAATGTTTTATAACAGGTTGTGATTAAATTGTGTGTAGAAAACGGTCGTTTTGTTGAATTCATTTAGGAATTATTATGGTAAAAAAATAATGTAAACTGGCTTTTTTACCATTGGACATTGAATATGTTGACGTAAATTCCAACCGTCATCTATCGAGTCCGAATGATTTTTTAAATCTGTAGCGTACTCGAAAAATTGTTGGTATGACATGCTCATGATTTGTGTATCCACAACAATAACAATAACAATAAGATGAACACGCCAATTCAATAACTATTGTAGAAAACTGTGATGCAGACTTAAATCATATTATTAGGTAGGTACACATAGTTCGGTTTCACTCTGGTGGCGCGTCCGATACTTGTCGAGAAAATTAAATAAGGTCTGTCGTCAATAAGCTGTACAATGCATTATGACAATTTGTGAGGTACGAATGTACAATGTACGAAATCTAATTCCAAGAATAAAATACATGATGAATTTTTAATAAATATTAATATTAATACCTACATCGAAATATTTAATATTCGAAAAATCGAAACACCGGTATGGCGGTATCACGGACTGTCGTGGTTATCACTATATTTTATCAGTCGACATTGGAATGATACACAGACTTCTATAGATACTTGATAAGGAACTCCTATACAATTTACATTGTTACAAGTGAAGCTCAGCTGTGGACGATCGCCATTTTGTCGGTTGGCAAAACGTTTCATTTATTATACAACATGTATTAGGAATAATATTTTTTTTAATGGTCAAATAAAATAGTAAATGTGAAATGACTTATAAAAAATAATTTTTTTTTTTTTTAAACAACATGCTTAGAAATAATAAAATACGATACAAAATAAATCATAATATAATCCTATTTGTCATATGAAATACCATACAATTGCCAACCTACCTTGAAGCTTCAATTCGTGGAGGGAGTTCGTTATCCAGTACTTCTAGAAATCTGTAGAAATGTGGAATGATACCACAGAATATATAGATAACACATTTTATTATCTATAATTCATTATCTGCAGATGATATTATATTATCTATGCGCAGAACTCGCTCGACAGAATTTCACGTAGCCGTGCTACTGACTGAAAAACATTGAACTCGGCCGCCGGGCACTGTGGCCAAAGCTACTTCGGCCGCTGTGGCCGGTTAGAAGGTATATCGTTAGGATTGTCGAGCTCTAAATTCGTTTTTGGGGGTGCCGTGGCCGTTTTCTGATTGTCAGTTACACCAAAAGTGATTTTAGGTTAACAGGGGCCCATACTACTCATAGCGGCGTCGGCGACGGCGGCGGAATTGTACTGCACGGCGGTGGTACGCGTTCTACCAGAACGTGACGGCGGCGAGAGTATAGCCGACTAGGACCCTGGTACCCAATACAATATTTTGAAGACTGAATTCATTCACTAAATTCACTAATTCATTCACTAAATAATTTATTATTACCATAATATTACCACAATAATGATAATAGTAATAATAATAATGATAATAATAATAATATCTTTAAAATAAAAAAAGGTGCTCTGCTGTACAGTAGGTTACAAGTGGGTCACTGTATAATGGATGGTATTAAATTTGAATTCAATGATGTAATATCATTGTATAAGAAAAACGATTCTGAGAGGAGACGGTATGTCAGTCTAGGTATAAGACATTTTATATACATATCTATGGTATTAAAAAAAAATGTTACCTATAATAAATTCCAAATTAACCATATCACAATATCCATTAGGTACTTATAACGCGTTACACATCAATAACAAACCGTGATACTATATATAATAGTATACTTTAGAAGTTTCAAGTACCCACGAATACAATCATAACAAAATAACTAAAATACATAGTTCTAGGTTTTTAAATATGTAATTTCGTCCAAATTTGAACTTAAAAAGACTATAAAAATAAACTGTGCTTATGTATTGTTTAGATTTTTTGGTAACAGAAGTAACTACTTACGTTGAATCTTGTTTTAAATTTTCAATCCTTAGATATAAAAGTTGATCATTTTATAAATTTTTAACTACAAAATTATTATTAAATTTTAAATGTGATAAATTCTATCAAAATTTAAACTTTAAATACTTATAAAAAAAACTGCGTCTATAGAAAAATAAACTAAAAATTATGAAAACTGACTATGTCCGTAAACAGCTCAAAAAGAGTCAAATTATTTTCAAAATTGTATGGTGTATAGAAAATGCTAATATAAACACTCGGTGACATTTTCAAGTATCTACAGTCATTCGTTTTTTAATTACAATAAAATAAGAAAATCTTTACATGAGAAATCGAGTCAATATCAAATGTTGTAAAAATATGAATTTCAAACACTCAAAATAATTTGCTAATTTTCGTGATTTTTCCATATTTTGTCAATTTTTGAACTTTAAATGCTTATAAAAAAAAAACTGTGACTAAGGATTTTTTATATTCTTCAAATGCCATTGTAACAATAAACTAGGATCCTTGTAATAAATTTTCAAACTTTTTTACCAAACAAATTAACTTTTATTGACAATCATAGAAAAAAAAAACTAAACAAACTGAAAATTGATAATGTTTGTAAACAGCTTAAAACAAGTCAAAATATTTGAAAAATGTTATGGTGTATAGAAAATGCTAATATAAACATTCAGTCAAAATTTCATATTTGGTCATTTGTTGCACCAAAAACCAAAATCGATTTTTTCAAAAACAGATTTTGCTTACAAATTCCCGTTTTTCCTTAATTTTTTTTTGTTTTTGAAAACTACTGAGAAATTTTTACTTTTGACAAATCGTAAGGAACCAAACAGTAGATAGGTACCTACCTACAATATAACATTCTAGTAGCAAGCAGCATACGCATATTATATACCTATGAAAACATTGTTATAATCTTACTAATTGATAAAATCTTGTTCATTTTTGATGTTATTGAAAATCTCAAATTTATTGCCTATTTAAAATTCTATAACCGTTTTAAAAGTTATCAGCTAGGTATAGCCGCATAGCCTACCAAGTACTTATCTAATCTATCATTATTGATACACAATAAACTTTTATTGTTCTACAATATACTGATAGGTACCGTTATGGATAATGATTATAGGTAAATATGGTATTTTATTATTTAGTATATAATAATAGGTATACCTAAAACCTAACCTATTAAAAATAAAACTGTTTAAATAATATATGAGGAGGTGATAAACCCATTCTGAACATATACCTTCAATGACCCATCCAAAAAAATAGTTCTGTGCACGCCACTGCGGGTAGCCTCTATAAGCTATAATTAGTTATACATTATAACTAGAGAGCGGATTTGTGTGTATTTGCATAATATTTGCGCATTATAATATTATAAATTATAGGTACTACCAATTATTTTACCACATATTTTTGCATATATCAACATTTTCAAGTACTTATTTTACGAATTGAACTCTATGTTTAGTCGTTTAGGTGTTTTTAAAACATTTATAAAAAAATTCAAAAATTATTAATATTAAAAAAAATTTATTCGAATGTATTGGTATATTTTATATTTTTTGATTAATATTGCAACAAATTGTTATAGGTATTCAGTATACACTATAGACGGATTTAGATATATTATATCTAGAGATATCAGGGTTTGCATTTTAAAAAAAAATTCCGTTTTATATGTTATTTACAATTAATACGTTACACAATGTTTGCATTTATCGTTATTCAGAATTAAAATGTTACCCAAGTTTTGCGTTTATCGTTATTCAGAATTAAAATGTTATCCAAGTTTTGCGTTTATCGTTATCCAAGTTTTGCATTTATCTTTATTCAGAACTAAAAGGTTAGGTTTACAAGTTTTGCCTTCGTCGTTATTTAAAATAGTGTAATTACCTATTAAAATATGTATTATGTATTAATAATTACTAATGCAGGTAGGTAATGGTCCAGATACGGAATATAATATTATAATCAATTCTTAGATTCTTAGATTGTTTGCATGAAATAAAATATGTTTCTACGAAACCAATAGACATTTTAAATAAATAGATTTTAAAATATTTCGTTTTGCGTTGTTTTTCGTTGAATGATATTCTATAAATTACTTTTGCTTTATGTTTTGTTTTATGGTATATTATATATTTTGTTAATCGTTATGTTTTGTTTTGCGGTATTTAATTATTTTTGATTATCGCTTTCCGTTATAATAA